ACCATTTTCCCTCCTAGGGGAGTTCCTCCCTCACCCTAGAAAAAAATTTCGAGTGTAATCGTCGTTGCTAGCCCCGGAAATCCACCCCCCACTCCTTGAAAACTTTAAAAATCTCAATATGCGCGCCAGTTAAAAATTGATAAAAAATATTTAAAACTCCAATATCTTGAATTTGACCATTTGCCCTCCTAGGGCAGTTCCTCCCTCACCCCAGAGAAAAATTTCGAGTGTAATTGTCGTTGCTAGCCCCAGAAATCCACCCCCGACTCCTTGAAAACTTTAAAAATCTTAATATACGCGCCAGTTAAAAATTGTTAAGAAATATTTAAAATTCCCCCATCTTGAATTTGGCCATTTCCACTTATAGAGGGGTTCCTTCCCCAACTCCCAAAAAAATTTCGAGTTCATTTGTCTTTGCTACCCCCCCAAATCCAGCCCCACTCTTTGAAAATGTTGAAAATCTCAATATGCGCACCACTGAAAAATTGATAACAAATATTTAAAACTCCCCCATCTTGAATTTGACCATTTGCCCTCCTAGGAGGGTTCCTCCGTCACCTCAGAAAATAATTTCGAGTCTATTTGCCGTTGCTACCCTCGGAAATCCACCCCCACTCTTTGAAAACTTTAAAAATCGTGATATGCGCGCCAGTTAAAAATGGCTAAAAAAGACTGAGAACCCCCCATCCCGAATTCGACCATTTCTCCTCATAGGGAGGTTCTTACCGTACCGCCCAAAAAAATGTTGAGTTCATTTGTCTTTGCTACCCCCCGAAATGCAGCTGCACTCTTTGAAAATGCTGAAAATGTCAACATGCGCGCCAGTTAAAAATTGATAAGAAATATTTAAAACTCCGCCATCTTGAATTTGATCATTTCCACTTATAGAGGGGTTCCTTCCGCAACCCCAAAAAAAATTTCGAGTCCATCTGTCGTTGCAACCTCCGGAAATCCACCCCCACTCCTTAAAAAATTAAAAAATGGTAATATGCGTGTTAGTGGAAAACTTATAATAAATATTTAGAAATTATTTATTCTTCCATATTGTGGATATTATTTATCAAATTCCCAATGAGGAATCTAATTATTAAGGCCCCAGTAATGATAAAACGACCATATGTGAGACTAGTTTGCGGGCTACAGCGGCGAGTGCCCCGCGCGAGGCACGCAGTGGTGCTCATTCCCACCGTTCCTGCGTCTGCCAACATCGTCTGTGGAGATTTGAAGGACTCACACAAATAGTTTGACTCTTGGGTAATCTATAATAAACTATATTTATTCAGCCAAAAGTTATTAAACATTTAAATGAATACAAATGAGGGATTGCCACAGCTGTGGTGTTAAACTTATGGAATCGTGAGAATAATAATAATGATGAATGGCGGATCGGGTTTTCCCGGTCGGTTTCGTTATTCCGTCTTCGGGATAAGTATTTGTTTGCGCCGTTGGCGCTGATGGCGAGCTCCGTCGGTAACAGTGGAATCTGATTGAGGCTGAGCCGCCACACGTCTACTAGTTTCAGCGTCATCTGCGCGGACGATGGGTGAGTATGGGCCGGGAGCAGTGTATCTAAACGACTATCGTGTGTGTTTGCATACTACACTGCGCTGAATAAATTTGATAAAAATATGATGTTCAACAATGTGTAAATCGTGTTCAGTGTCTTCCTTTACCATGTTTCGATCTATGGTTTCAATGAATTTTCATGTAATTGACTCATTATTTATCATTTTCTCTTTTCAGATATCTTCATCTTCAATATGAAGGGGTCTTCTATTCATCCGATAACAGGAATTATACATTATCATTATAAGTTGCTGGCGACATTTTTACGTTGTCCTCTCGAAGCATAGAACGCGTTTTGTCCCGTACCCGGCATGAAGAGTATGAGAGAAAATAGAAATAATCGACAGATTACAGATATTATTCTTTTCTGCAGTAATCTAATGCAATGTAGAATGTACAAACCAACGATATTCACTCAGATACTCTGCTCCACGCCCATACTCACCTGTCGTCCGCGCAGTCTATCCACCCGCGCTCACTCTTTAGCCTGTATCTCGGGAAGTATTCGACCGATTTCGACAAGTGAAAAATTATTTTATTGGTGAAAGAAAGAGGAATAACTTTTGTTGAAACAATTTTTCTGTATCTCTCTTTGTTTTCCCGGAAGAACATTTATTCACTAAAAATGGGGACTAATTTGTTTATAACAAATGATTGCGCGACGGGAGGACAAAATAAACAACATATTCGGATTCCTCACCCCCAAAAACATAAAATCCAATGATAAAATTCCATCGACCTCCTAGTGACCACGGGAAGGGGGTATTGCGTATGGACTACCGAAACTTTTCGTTCACCCGCCAATCATCTATTCCTCGGTGTCCGTGGTCAACGCGTAGATGTATATATAGCGTTGTAGGTCAGACGCTACAACCCCCCCCCCCTCGTACAAAAAATCGCCATCAATTTCCAAGAGGGTGAGGGTCCGCGGTTGACTCATTGGCGTCAAATACTTCATATAATCATTTTTTCAATAGGCTATGAATGAATACCTGCATGTTTAATGTAATAAACTTCGATTTTATGGTACCAAAAGCTGGCTAGGCTAAACTGGAAACATCGAATTTGGTATATTGCAATAGAATTAGGGAGTTATTTCCTTATTTTTTTTTTTCTTCTCGTATACCCTTTCGGATCTTTACGATGCGTTCCCTTTCCACCCCCCAACCCCCTGTACCGCATTCGCCGAAGGACAAGGGAAAACCTCATTTGAGGGAAAAACCTGCCCAGGTACAGTCGTCTCTTGTAAGACTCCCGCTCGACAATGAAACCGTGAGATTTAGAGATTTAGAGTGTCACAAATTTTGGCCCCTCCAGCCGGGAATCGAACCCGGGTCTCCCGCATGCCAATCCCACACTCTAACCACACAACCACCGCCGTCGGTTCCTAATTTTTTATAATAATTCTGTATTTTTCATGTTTATACATTTTTTAAGGCCTTTCCAGATTTTTATCAAGTTAGCAAGGCCACCAATAAAAAGACGTAATTAAATTTTTTTGCAACTTTGAAAGATTTGCGAATTTGGCGACGTATCCATGGAGTTTGCAAAACCCAAAAAAAAAGAAAAATTATGATAATTTATAATTAAATAATGAATTGAATGCAGAAACAAGAAACTAAACGGTGCTTCCATTTTTAACAGGGAAAGATTTACAAATGCAAATATAGTCATCAGAGGAGGGTATCAAAACATTTACGGAAATAATTATTGGAATTTATTTAACAATTAACTCTAATAAATTAATGTTTGTAAACAAAAAAATCAGCAATTTGTGAAAGTAGATGTTGTGAGTCGTACCATATTTCGTCATATCAAGATTTTTCAAATATTTATTTTTTCCCTCGAGCACTAAACATTATGAACACGCCAAATTATTGCCAAACCGCCAGCGCCCATATTTAAATGCCAAAGGAACTTCGACAATCGCCCAATCTGGTAACTCTGCTTGTGGCCGTTGACTGCTGGGAGCAACAGGTCCCCCACCACTCCTCACTGTAGTACTACTGCGCAGCCTTTAGGGCGCAGAACGTATAGCGCTCCGTTTAAATCGCTTGAATTCGATCGACAACGGCATGACTTGTTATTCCACTTGCTTCGATGGCCATTGTGAAGGATTAAGTGTTTGAAATAAAGTTAATAAGTGTTAGACGATGTAATGATCGGACTTCACGTGGTCAACAAAAAACGGTGCCTATGACACAGTAGCTCGCACTGATATCCCATGCGCATTTCTGCCGCACACCCACTGCCACTAGCATACACAACTCCCGCAGTTGAAATCCGGCGAATTTTATCCCGGAAATAATCTTCCGAACCCAAAAGAAGTGAGGTGAGTGTGGCAGGATTGATAAAAATTCCATATCAATTTTTAATTTATTACAAAACTTTATATGCGTTTATTCCTTTGTTTTTCATTTCAGTTTCACAATAGATTCGTGGAGAAATGTACAACTTAATCATTATAAACAAAGATAACAAAATTAAAATGATGTGTTCTCTTGTGAATATAATCAAGAGATCCTATCGTAATTAATAAAAAGAATATATGTGTTGCTATCTATAATGATGTAATTCAAAATTAATATTTTTTTTTTCTTTCAAAAATGAAGAGCAGGTGAATCCGATTTGACATATTTTAATTCATCAATTATGTGTGGTTCATCATGTCGACAGTGAGTGATTCTATGAATTTCATGGACACGAGATTTCCAAAAAAACTGTCAAGATTTCCTTATGAAATCACTCATTTTTGTAACGATCACCTTTAATGGATAATGATTTGTTACTTCACTACGCTCAATCTCCCATTACTGGATATTTCAGAATATCCCAATAACTTTCCACATGATCATATGAGCCCTATTCTTTCATAATGATAAGTGATGCCCCAGTCTTCATAAAAAAGATTTTAAAAACTCGCTATCATTTGATACTTAATTCACTAAAAACGGTACATGAAATGCAGTGCAAAGAGGATTTCCAGATTGTTTTGTAATCATCGTTCGGAAGATGAGGTTTCAAAAGATTCATGAATAGATTTTAGTAGCGAAGTGGTAAAACGATTTAAGTCGACTTAAATCTTAACTGAGTTTTCGAGGAATATCTCCGAACCTAACGGACCGAAATTTTCGGGATAAACTGGTTTGCAGCTCTCCATCCACCCTAGAAAAAAGGTTCTAACAAATTTTTTTTATCTGCTTTAGATTTCGAGATAATTGTTGAAAACTGACCAATAGTCGAAATCGACTTAAGGAGTCCCACAAGCCTAATGTATCCTATTTCAAAATAAATTTTCTGCTCAAAGTTATTAATATTTTTCAAACCCAAACCGCATTGATCTTCATCATCGCCTGCTGGTGATCAATGTGCTTCGATTTTCAAAAATATCAATAACTTATAGCAGAAAATTTCCTGCTGAAAGTTATCGATATTTTTACAAATTTAAACACATTAATCTCCAGAAGGCCATGATAAAGATCAATATGCTTTGTGTTCGAAAAATATTAATAACTTTGAGCAGAAAATTTATTGGAAAATTTGAAGAAAACGGTGGCCTTGAACCGTTTTACCGCTTCGCTACTGATTTCTTCGTAGTAGCTTTTAAAATCTACCGAGAGAATGTTTTACCTGTTTTTCCTAAACCCAGTAGTTTCGAGATATTTGCAAAACAATCTATACTAAATATTTCAAACTGGGTTTTTTCCCCTTTCAATTTCAAACTTTTCATAATCGTTGACGTGCTTCTTTCGAAAAAAGTAAAATTATGACATTAACTTGGAACTTACACAGAATATTTATAATGTTGAATGAATTATGTATGAATTCTTACAAAAAATTGAGCGATTTCATTTTCAAGCACCAACATCAGCTCTTCAAGTACGAATAAATTTCATAGAGTTAAAAAGCGCAATTGCTCAAAAATTTTGTTAGATTCTTATTGGACTTCTGCTCAACATTCTGTCTGTTGAAAAAATTCCGTAACTTTTCTATACATATTTTCCAAGAAAGATGTTCAATAGAAAATATCTTATAGAAAACGTCAATAGACTTCGATTTTTCAATACCACTTATTCCTCGACTTATTATATTATGATATTCTCTATAGAAATTTCGCGGCCTAAATTTTCTATTTTCTGTTCACATTTTTTATGATAACATTTTTAAAATGCTGTAAAAAACTTCGAAAATTTATGTCGGAAAATTTTTATAGAAAATGACTCGATGGAATGTTGTATAGTAAAATCGAATCTACTTATCTTTTCTTTGAAACAGTTTGCATTGACTATTTCCTATTGCAAAAGTGCAGAAAAGCTACAGAATTTCTGGATAAAATCGGAGAAACTTGATAGAATCTCCAATATAGGTGTAGCAGGAATCCAATTGAATTTTTTCGCGGTTGCACTTGTTTGTTCCATGAATATTTTTCGTGCACTCTGTTACTAAAGTTCTGGAACAATCTAAAATTGAATTCTATTTATTTTGTTCCAGAACTTCAGTAAATTATTGCACACGTTATGGCGAGTTTTCCGGTTATCACAAAATTACACTCCTAGATGAGTTGATTTATCATCAACGAATTTCTATCTGTAAGGAACAACTATGATTGTTAACATTAACCCTTCGTTACTCACCTGCTTTTAAACAGGTTTTTCACTGGGTTTGTCTGGATGTTTGTGGGTTTAAAGAGGACAATTATTCTTCAAACCTTCAACATTCAATTTTCGTTTCGATCTTCAATGGAGTAGTAAAAAAAATTATTGAAGAAACGCTTGGGGTGCTCCATACGCCCTTCGCGAGTAACAGAGGGTTAATCCTCGTGAAAACAAAATCTGGAAAGATTGTGAAGAAATCCTACGTAATCTAACGACTGCGATGAATGTGTGATAAAAATATTGAGTCACACGTATGAAAAAATCCTATAGGAGAATTCGAACATTTCCTATAGGATTTTTCAGACAGATTTCCTATAGAATTTCTTATAGGATTCCCTATCAGGTTTTTCTTATTGGATTTCCCACAGGATGTCTTATAGGATATCCTATCAGATATTCAATAGGATTTCCTATGAAATTTAGGGTCATAAGGGTCAAAATGATGAATGGTAAAATAACCCCCATGCAACTCCTATATGATCCCATATGACATCCATATGACCTCCACATGACCACCATATGACCCATATATGACCCCCATATTACACTTAAATGACTCTAATATGACCCTTATGACCCATATATGACCTCCATATGATCCTCATATGACACTTTTGACCCTCATTGGGACCCTTATACCCCTAAATTTTATAGGAAACTCTGTTGAAATTTTCATATTAAATCCTACAGGAAATCCGATCAGGAAAATCCTATAGGAAATGTTCCAATTTTCCATAAGATTTCCGATAGGATATGCTATAAGAAATCCTATAGGATTTTTTCATACGTGCAAAGTCATCACTTTTTGACATATGATACCCTGCAATGTAAAAAGTGATGGTCTAGCAGGCATATTTCACTTTCCGCTTGCACTTTTCAAGCAGATGTCTGTAAGCTAACGTGATATCCTTAAATTTTCTCTCGTGTTTCTTCTGCTGCTCTACGGTAGCATTCGCGTGGCGATCGGGGTGGTGCAGCAGCGCTTTATCCTTATACGCTTTTTTAACTTCCTCAATGGATGGATCTGTGCTCACCCCCAAAATCGTATAGTGATCTTTCTTCACAAGTGCTAATAACTTCTCAGCTTCCTGGATCAATTTTTGACACTCATTCCCAGGGTCCAAATTGCAGACCCTCGAAAAATCGGCAATAGCTTCTTCGTAATCTTTCATTTCCATGTAGCAATGTCCGCGCTGTTTCAGAAATTTAACCACAGTCGAGTCGATATCGATGGCTTGTGAGTATTCATCAATCGCTCTTTTAAAGTTTCCGAGGATGAACGATGCCTGACCCATGTTGTAGGACAGTTTCATCTTCATGAGAGTATTGTCAGGGTCGATTGATAAGGCTGATGAGTATATGCGATGGGCATCCGCGAAATTTCCGGCGTGAAATTTATCGTTACCTGTTGCTTTCGCGTCTACAAATCGTTTCAGTTTCTGAAAAATTCCAGACATTCTTTCATCAAATTATTGCAAAATAATTAAAATAGTGGAACGAGAGGTGCAATTAACTTTAGTGAATTTCTGATATCTATCGAACCAATTGTACGAATCTTATCTTTCATTTCGAAGCACAGAAGAATATTCATTTATATTTTAAAATAAACTAGCTTGTCTTACGGAACGAATCTGAGTTCTCAACTGTAGATAGGATTCGGTAGTGAACAGGCAAAAGAAAATGTATAAATTTTCCGGGTTTTATTCACCTTGGAAAGTTTAAGTCGAAGAATACCTATACAATGAACTTCAACAGAATAAGTTGTATGGAAAAATAAAAATTAATTGTACATAGTTTTTGCAACTCTAAAAAAGGGAAATTTCGTAAAATCATTTCTTATTCGATTAAAACAGTTATTGTTGCCTTCATTACATTGCATAATAATAATCCGATGAAATTTTTCATCGCCGCTTTGAATTCCTTGTTGATAAATATTTGTTAAAATATTTGTTGATAAATTTTCCTCTATATGAGGTATTTCCATTCTGAAAAGGCTCCGTCTGGTGTAAATTATTCGCCTCTTCAGCCAAATATTTTGTTGCTGTCGAAAGCAGAATAATTATTCATGTTTGAGAATTTGAAATTCGAACCAAACAAATTCTTTTTTGGCAATTTTCAACTAGCGATTTTGTTGGCCCAAACAAGACTTTTCTGACGTGTTTGTTTTTCTCTCAGTGTGTGAGCACACATGTGCACACACATACCTACACACATGCAGATATTTTTTAAAAACATCATTTCTTCACGTTTCATGATTTTTCTGGGCATTTTCACCCAAAATTGAGAACTTTAAAAAAATCACGATTACAATGCTTCCATACGGAAGCAAAAAAAAATTATCAATTTTCGGTCAGTGGTCGGTTTTGCCCTGCGGTCCGTTTTGCCCTACCCTCCCCTATTAAAAATTTTTGTAACATGAAATTGTATATTTAGCTTTGTCCTTAGGGGATTTAGTATCCTAGAACAATGAATAAATGTTTTCATTATCTATCTATCTATTGAGTCTCTCACATGCGAAAGGTTCCGGTTCAAAACCCAGCCGGGTAGAATGGTGAGATCTAACCATTTAAAGTCTTGATCATCATTGCAATATACCCCAACCGGGTCGAAGCGATGTAAAATAACGGTAAACAAGACGAATATTTTGAAAAAAAAAGGTGGAATCGTTTGCGAAGTTTTAAAGATATTCAACATAATAGATTTTCAGAAAAAGTTAAATATCTCCGAAAATACTGGTGCGATTGAGCCCATCTTCAATACGAACCTTTGTTATCACAGGAGGAAGATTCAGTCCAAATTTTAAGTTGATATCTCGATTTTTCCACACGTTAGTGCGCGTATAAAGATTTTAATGAGAAAACAGAAAAGGGGAACTATCTCAAAAACTTTGTATGAACGGGTATATATGTTTTTGTTGATCTAGGTAGAGGACATCGAGACGAATATTTTGAAAGAAAAAAAATCTAAATCGGTCCAATAATTTTAAAAATATTCGTGAAAAACGATTTAAAAACGAATCGCTTTATCTCAAAAACTACTTGACCGATCGGGCTGAAATTTTGTACAGAGTTAGCCCTCATTAAGACCTATAATCTGACAAAATTTCAAATTTTTTTGAATTATTTTAGCCACTTAATTACTCAATTTTCTAAAAATTGACCATCGGGAAGGTGGTGGTGGACATATTCACATACAAACATGGTCGCCAAACTTCGTATTTTTACGTTTCAGACCATTCTACATCATTTCCAATGAAAATTAGAGAATGTGAAAATCGGACGATTACAAAGCTTCCATTCGGAAGCAAAAAAATATATATTGAGAGTCTTTACCACTGTTCAATCAATATCATCTTATTTTCTCTTTTGTTGTGGAGCAATAAAAAATTACCTTAAATATTTGATGACTTTTTTTGTGGTCCGGATCAAGTCGAAGAATGCCCTTGAAGTATTTCAAAGCCTTGTCAATATCACTCTGATATACACGAAGTCCTAGAATGTATTTTGCATCTACATTGATAGGATCCTTCTGCAGTATCTCATTGATGATTTGTTCCGCTTCGTTGTGACGTTTGAGCAATGCCAAATATTCCGCCTTTTTTACTTTATACGATGCGCGGTGAGGGCTGATGAGTAAACAGCTATTGATACAATCTAGGGCATTTTGGTAATTGTTATCTCTAATTGTGATCGTCTCTTTTTCCAAAGCCCTTTGGAGTTTATCCAACTTGTTACGTTCTGCGGATATTATCTCGTGATTTGGATCGATTTCCGATAATTTAGTGAGATGGAATTCTGCAGATCTCGTGTGACCGAGCAGCATGGCACATTTTATCAGTCTTGAGTATGCCTGGAAGAAATGATAATTATTTTCCACCCTTTTAATTTGTTGCTGCACCCTTCGTTGCCTAGATCATCCAATCACCTCAATTATTGATTATGAATTGAAGAAAAAATAGAATTATCATAATTGCTTCATTGTTACTCGATATAGGAGGTAATTTCCAACATAAGAATCCGAAATAATAACATGACTAGATATTGATTAAGGGCCTGAGGAAACTAAATTAATTTAGCAAAAAATCTCATCCTTCAACAATTTAATTGACGTTGTTCTCATTTTTTTAACATCTCCTGATTTTTTTTTTCATTCAGTTTATCGAGATAGAGATGAAAGATAAATTAATATTCATTCATTAATGGAGTGAAAAATTGCATCGAATATGATTTATTCAGAGTGTGAATAGATGTACAATAATATTATAATTTCAAATTTCGTCTGCTCCACTATATTGCACGAAAAATAAATTGGGAAAATACATGTATTGACATGCGTAATAAAAATACCTTGATGCATGAAGGATCCAATTGAATAACTCTGTTTGCATCTGTAACTGCATTATTATACTGTCCTAGCATCATGTAGCAAGCACTACGATTATTGAAGTTTACCGGATTGTTCGGACACATTTCTGGAATTTATTTACATAATCAATCAAAGCTTCCAATAAAATATAACGATTGAAAGAACGTGTACAACAGTAAAGAACAGAAAATGCATCGGAAAAATTAAGAGGAGACTACTATGAGTTTTGACAGTTGCGAGCTATTAGAATGAGATTTCTCATATATTGGAGATCGATTATATATGTCTACAAACGAATAATTGGTGCAAAAAAAATTGTTTATTGTTTCTTTACCTCACAATGGCTTAAAATGTTAAAAATATTCGAGGGCCTCTAATTTTTGAGCTGCAGAGGTTTTTTTCGAAATTTTTGAAAAATGTGTGCAATAACAATTACGAATTAGTTTTTTGTGCCATTTTTTTTCTTAGTGAGATATTATGCGTTTGGTAATTATCGAGCCATGAATTTATTGATACAAGTATAAACGTACTTCTCCAAAAACTCTTCTTTTCTCAATGTACACTGAGAAAAAAAAACATATTTTTGCCAAATATTCATTTACTTGAGAGAAGCATTTATTTTTTCAAAATCGTATTTCTCCTATTGAGTGATTCCCAGGCGAGCCTGATTAGGTTCCAATTATGACACTCATATTGCTCTAGAAGATGATTATATTGCATTTGACCTTGGATGAACTCCTCCAATGATTATTCATTTTTCCTAAATTTCTTATTTTCTAGACGAAAGAATTTCGATTAATTTTTTAATGTTGATAATTATTGAGGGAGTGCACTCAAGGTCATAACTAACATGCTCATCTTTTGGATCAATATAATTGTCATAATTGACACCTAATGAGGATTGCCTGGGAATGACTCGACTGGAGAAATACGGCGATGAAAAAATAAATACTCTTCTCAAGTAAATGGATATTTGGCTAAATTAATTTTTCTTCTCAGTGTTGCGGAAATCCCTAGATCATTTTTATAATCCATAAAATTCTCTACAATTGTATGCATTCTCGATTAGCATCATTTTCTGTCATTACGAATTTCCCTAGATGCTAGGAATCAATAAAGTTATAAAAAAATATTACCAATGAGCCTGGAATAATGTGATAGAGCAGCTTCGTAGTTCCCTTTTTGATAGAAAGTTTTCGCCAATTTCTGTTTTAATCCAATTGCACTAGAATCATGAATGAAAGAATAAAACAAATGGGCAATTGTATATTTTTATAATTTAGTACAGTTATTATTGCTAATAAATTGACCATTTGCTTCCGAATGGGTTCTCTTTTTTTAATTCTTATTTCACTATTCACTTCTATTTTTTCACGTCACGAGATCGAAGGCGCGCCTATCACTATGATTGATTTTATATGATTCATCCCGTTATTATTGTAAGATGATTTGAATGAATATGTTATTTCACGTATACAAATTTCTAAAGTATTACTAAGGAGAAATTCGTGGAAAATGATGAAAACTTCTTTTGAACATCCACGAATTTCTTTTATTGAAAAGGGATGGAAATTTCCATCGAGAATCCATCGAAGATAAGTCGAAATCTATGAAAAGTTCAATTGAAGATCAACACTACATGTTCTGTCGGAAATGATGTTGGTATCAAATATCAGAAAATAAGTCAATGTTAATTTATACGACCGTTATCACTGGAAAACCATAAATATCTCGGATACTAAATACGATCAAGTCGATTCCTTTTATACAGACATAAATTTATATACCATTTACTCAAAGATATAATTTTTATCTCTTTGTAGACATAATTATTGACTTCGGCGGGTTTTCGTTGTTCTCTTGTGAAAACTTTCAATGGATCTCATGATCAAACTCCCGAAAAAGCTACATATAATTGTCCGTGATTGACAACATCTCTCCGTAAATCTACACCAACATCATTAACAAAATCAGAATCATCATCATGCATGCATGCGATTTCTCTTTCAGAACATTCAGGAATAAAAGCGTGACATTTCCTTTTTATATAAGAATAATACTATCATCAATTGAAATGCATTGAAAATTTTGCGCATCATTTCGCTCTGTCAAGTAATTCTGCATTCAGACCCTAAAAACATCATTTCTTCACGTTTCATAACATTCTACATCATTTCCATGCAAAATTACAAAATGTCAAAATCCAAAAAAGGCAAAGCTTCCATTCGGAAGCAAAAATAATAAAACAAGTCTTACTCATATTTAATCTTCTCTTGGTAATAATATCCAGACGTCGACGTCGATTTGTTTCCACAACCATCAAACTTCGAGTGATCATTATGATTAGAAAAATTCGATGACCTTGCATTATCTTTTCTAGGATCGTACCGAGACTGTTCCACACTGGTGTAAGCGTATCTCGAGTCTTCCCTAGAATTACCACTTTCTTTCTTATCATGATCCGTCTCCTTATGCTCCTTTGAGCTATTGTTCTGTTCCCTACCCCCACTCTCATAACTTTTCTCATCCTTGTCAAACCTCTCATTTTTGCCATTCCCATAATTTCTTGGTTTTTTATAGTTATTTTGTCCCTTGGAGTTCGTATTCCTTTCGAATTTGTTTGAACCTTTAAACTCCCCCGGAGAATCACTCTCCGGACTTTTGTTATTATTATTCTCATTGTTGTGATCAGAATTGTCTGTTTTTTCCTCTCTGGGATCTTCAGATGTCTCGTTCTGGTTATCCTCGTGCTTGGTCTCACGACGACCTTCAAACTGTTTGGAATTATTTTGATTCTGATTATTACCATTTCGCCAGGGCTGTTGACGATAGGAATTATTATCAGCTACAGATTCTGAGGGTGAATTCTTCCTACTATTTTCATTACTTCTGTTATGAAACTCTTGACTTTGGCTTCGACTATAGTAAACCCTGGGTGCACTCTTATGAGGCCCTTTAAATTCTGAATCACCATTTCCATCACTTCTGTTATTATTGTGACAGTTTCTCCTCGTGTTTCTGTAATCGAGATTGTTGTTGTTGTTGTTGTTTAGGGTTGAGGAACGACACATTCTCGCGTAATGCCCGATTTTTCCACATAAATGGCAGGTTTTCTTGTCTGCTGGACAATAATGAACCCATTTCCATGTTCCTCCACAGTTTCTGCACGCTTTCAAGGGGATTCCACGTCCATTCTCATCTCGTTGTCGAAAATTCGCTGATCTTTCGGCTTTGGAATCCCTCCCAGCATCGGATTTTGGTACCGCACTCATTCTTCACTGATTCTAATAATTAAAAATTAAAATCTTAACTTTTCTACTAGTTACCCACCGGGCACTGTGGAAAGCACTGTCGAGAGATCTTTAATCCTTTTTTGCACTAATCACATACCGTAAGAATAGACGACGCAGCTGTATGCATATCGGAGTCCATGTTAAACTGTAGATGCAGACAAGGGAATCCCGAGCGCGGCATCATATTTCTTTTGGCTGTCCGCACGGAGCGATTGTCGCTCATTTCAACGAACTATTGTTAAATAAGCGGGAAATTGCTCTTACATTGCATATAGTACAGTTATTTTTGTTAATAAATTAGCAATATTCTTCTGAATGTTTATTTTGCACATCATTTCCTTCTGTTATGTATAAATTCTTGTTCATTTCATTTTATTAAGGGGAAACCACGGTGAAATTCAAGTCTTCGCTCGGCCTTAAAGTAGCGTACTTTTGTATATTTACTGTTTTTTAATTTTTCAGCGAAATTGCATGGAAAAAATTGGAAAAAATTCATACCCAGTCAGTATTATCTAAATTAAATTTCGCAAAATATTGATATTTTTTCAAACATCTCTCTCTTATAAATGAATAATAAAACTTGTTTGCAAAACGGTGGATTATTTTTTATGTGTCAAAAAAATTCTTCATTTTTTCACATCTAATGAGAAAAACTTCAGATTTTAATCTTTGAGTACAATGGAAATGGTGACTTTCACATAAGACACTGGGTTAAATCCTGATTTTTAAACATTTCTTCTTTGAAAAACAAAAACGATAATTAAATTGAGAAAAAAACTATAATTCTGAATCTAATCGAGTTTTCTGCAAGTTTTTTGAAGTTTTCAATAATTTTTGAATTTACCACAAGGGAAGAGCTACTTTAAGAGCCATTGGTCAAATTTTGGTATATGAAGGGATATATTTTTAAAAATCCCTTTTTTTAAAGCGATTTATGTTGGGATTTTTATGAAGGGGTAACAGAAAGCCACCATTTCCTCGAAATTTTCAAACAAATTTCCTGCTCAACCCAGGAAAAATTTTAGTATTTTTTTAACCCAAAGCACATTGACCTTTATCATCGCCTCCTGGAAATTAATGGGCTTTGATTTGTAAAAATATCGATAACTTTGGGCAGGAAATTTGTTGAAAAATTTGGAAAATTGGCCGCATTCTGTTACCCCTTAAGGGGAGACTGCTAGGAGTTTCAAAAGGCACGGGGCTATTGGAATGAGATCTCATATTTTGAAGATCGATGATATATGTGGACGTCCGCGTGAAAAGGGACCACTTTGTCGATATGGTGTTATGCATACTTTGATAATATTGATATCATTCCGCACATTTAGAGCCCAAAATGATCTTCATAGGGTAAAAAATGACGTCGTTGGAGAAGATGGAAAAAACAATTTAGCATTGGTGCAAATTGGAGTTGCTGACACAAAAATGTAAATATCTTGGAAACTAGAATAGACAAAGTGGCCCCTTTTCATGTGGACGTCCACATATGTCTAAAAACGAATAATTAGTGTAAAAAAAAAAACTGTTTATTGTTCATTTACCCCGCAGACTGTCAAATTAACAGTGGTGTTTTTAATTAAAAAATGACTAGTTTATTTCCCTTAATTGAATTTTTATTTTTGAGAAAATTATTTCATGCTGACATTGCAAACAAAGCTTTTTTGTTGCCAAGGCAATTTTTTAAAAATCGTCTTGCTATGATGTACTAAAAAATTTGGTAAAAGAACCGTTCGCTAGGAAATTTTACCGAATTACCATTGAAATTCCGAAGCGTTCCTGTCTTAGGGTAGGCGAAAAAAATTGATCAGGAAAAAATAGCCCACACACCCGAAACGTACTGAAACCCACCCAATTAAAAAATTTCCTTTGGTCTATTTTTTCCGGGATTCCTGTATTGGATTTCTTGTGGAAATTCTTGTATAAATTAAATGAAAAAATCAGACTATTGTTTGTTATATACCTCACGCGAGACACCTCGCTCTCTTGCTGTTCAACCTTTGACATGACTGATCAGTACATTATTTCTCTTATTATTTTGTCATTAGAAGCTTTAAATTAGAATAGTACTAACTATGAATTGGAATAATGTTTTGTTTTGTTTAAAATTGCTATAAAGATAAAATTATATATTGTGACTTGGCAAAAATGTTTATATGTTAAAATCTCATAATTTTGTATGAAAGACAATCATCGATTTTGATAACTCAAATAAATTGAATATTTCAAGGTAACGAATTTATAATTTCCATAGCCCTCGTCATTTTTAATTATATAAAATCCCATCTGCAATACTATATTCTTTTATACTATCCGTATTATCTTGAAACTTCAATAAAATGGCATTCGTAAGTCTTCTTCCATGCATAATTAATAGTATATTTCGTTACGAGTGCGGAAAAGAGTTTTTTGGCCCATGGGTGGTTTATAGCACGAGCCGAAGGCGAGTGATATAATCCCACGAGCCAAAAAACACTTTTCCCACGAGTATCAAACGATATTTTTCATCACAATGTGTGGAAAAGGGACATTTTAGGCACGCGAAGCGTAAGTTACTTTGTCGCACAGCGTGATGGAAATAAATTTGTAGCATCAATTTTTAAAAAATCATCAAAAAATTTGCTCTCAGGAAAATTTTAAAGAAATTCAGAATTTGCAAAAATCATCATAAAAATCAAACCAACGCATATAGCTATCGTAAAGATCTTCTAAATGCAACTGGGTGACATTGAAACAAGTGATTTAAGTTATAATTGGATCAATTAAAGCACACTATCCAAAGATAGCTTCGAAATTCTAATTTTCAAAAAACACCAAATTTTTGGAAATCATTCTATAAATCGAAACATCGCTTATTACTATCGCTTTCATTTTTGAACTCGGTTAAAGGTACATCCAAGATATGTTTTTAAGTCATCATTCAATGAATTGAGCGTAAAAAGTTCGAAAATTCTACAAATTAATATATCAATTGAATTTTCATTAATGGCGCTGGATAGGGCTGAACAATACCTACATTTGAAAATAGTGATTAAATTCCATCGAGACATCAGCGATCAATTAAAGAAATACTTTGTCACATATAGACATGGATAGGGTCTAAACCCTGTGGATAGGGTCTAAAAACTGCAATGACTAGGGGACTATGCCCCCTATGCGCTCGGCTCGCCAACTCCTATATGACCCTTATTTGAGCCCTAAGTTTCCAACCCCTGGTTTTTGACTTACATTCTGACCCTTCATTTTGAAATCTTAATTTTGAGTACTAAATTGTCATCAGCTAGAAGTCCATTTGGATTTTTAAAATACAGATATACTGCAACAAATCCATAACTTGATAATAATAATAATAATAATAATAATAATAATAATAACAATATCCATTACTTTCACTATTTTTTCTTGAAGGAAATGCATTTCTACTTTTGTAGTCGAACATCAGAGCTTTTATTTAAGTCCCATTTGCTCCTAGGTTTGCGGATATTTTATAATGATTTTATTATTCAGTTCGCAGGTCTAAATCTAAACTTTTTAAAAATATGAAAAAAATTTAGAGTTCACTTTGGGGGGAAGATTGATGAAATAATTAAAAAGTCGAGCATTTTCTATGAACAATCAATTTTCCACCGTCAAAATCATTTGCTCGGAATCGTAACAAATTTACTGATATTTAGAATTTTACCAGAAATCGATTTCACGTCTAAAAAAAATAAGATTTCTGAAAGTTTAAACTATTTAAATAATTTATTTATAAACAGCGAATGTTTAAAAAATATTAATTCTGTTCAAAATGTTGTTTGAATAACGCCGAATATTCACGATTTTTTTAAAACTTTTCTCACGCAGTTTAATTGACAAATTTAATGATTGAAAATGGTTAAATCTATAGTGTGATCTATACCAAACAGCGAAAAATACTTAAATATCTTTAAATTTGAACAATCGCAAAGTTTCGACTCGAAAGCAAAAAAAATTAAGTGTTCGTCTTGTCCCACCCTCTCGACGATAATGAGGATATTTGAATTATTGAAATAAATAAACTCACAATAATGCTAGATATAATTTATTGAAAACTATATGATTGTGTCTGGATCTTACTTCAAGTGAAACAGACGCATCTAGCCTGGTATTTTTCTAACTGACAATTGTATAAAAAGTGTTTTTTACTCCTGAAATTTCCGCCATTATCCCTTACGATTTTCTATCAATACCAGGAGATCCATCGTCATTGTTTTTATAATTGGAAATCAACAGTCATTATGCAGAGTATACGATAAGGCTCAGAGAAATAGGTACTCTCATATCGAACAGTCTACAGATGGCATTTTTTTGGTTGTCATCAAAATAATTCAATGTGAGTACTCTTGGGATTCTAAATGGGATAGAACGTTAAATATACAGTCGATTACATTACATATTACCGTAGAATTATCGTCCTTGTTGAGTGATATTTGTTTGTTTTATCGATACGATACAGCCCCGTGACTCAACACTCTCAATAAAAAGTCAAGTATTTAATTCCATTTGTTTAAATAATAATTAACTATTCGGGTATCCCCAATTCCTCGTGACATTTTAAATCATAATTTTTCGTGTCTACTCGTCATTGCAGATTGCAATACTATTATTGGACCAACACAATAATATAATTTATTGGATATTTGTTGAGCTAATGGGTGCAAAGAAAAACTTGAAAAAAAAATTCTTTCCTCAAGAATCTTTGACTTTTATCCAAACCCACTACTTCAACTCAATCTTCAAAAGTATCTTGTCATCATTTCAGTCAATAAAATAATAAAACAGAATTATTTGAAGTTCAAGGATTTCATGCTTTTGAACAAAATTATTAAGAGTGTTTCCCTTAGATACAGTTATCAGTAACTATTCCTGTGTTAATCTGGCTTCTCTACTCGAAATGATTAGTAGTAAGTTGCCTCGAAAATACTAGCTCATGATAAAGTCTACATTCCATGACTTTTCAATTTTATTCCATAGCGAAGTGGTAGAATTCACAGAATTCCAACTAAATTACCAAATTAATTGTCAAATTTCTCTGAATTTTTTTCACCTTAAATTTCACGAGGTCCAAAAAACATAGCTTGACATTTTCTTTTAAATCACTGATTCTCCAAGCGATCAAAAGATCACTTTGGAAAACCCTTGTGTAGAGAATTGTAAGAGAAAGTGGGCTAAAACGAACCATGCTTATTGCTTAATCTGCAATAACTGGAGAACAGCAGAGTGAAATTCCCTATTTTTTCTAAATTGTCAAGATTTTTCTTTGGGTTTTGAAATGGGACCTGATTAATCCAAATCGTATCATTTGGTCTGAAGATATTTCTAATTAGCAAAATCATTTCCTTCTCTCTACCACTTCGCCGTAATTACATATTCTCATTAATAACCTACGCATATGTTTTCCTCGATAGAACACGAATTGTCATTTACCGGTTTACATGGATCCTTATTAAACATCCCATTCAATTCACAGTACCGAAACCCCCCAATCTCCTTCGCCACACCAAACCACGAAACTTCTGGAAACACGTTTCCCCCTCAAATCCCCCAAAAACTTGAATTGAATCGAGATCTGTAGTATCTCTGAGCCCTCAGTTTGGATCGTATTGCCATTAATTGGCGGTATCAGAACGGAAATGACTCGTGTCCTCCGCCAAATTGAAATCTGAAGCCTCCCTCGGGTTTCGTGAAGTATGCCTCGAACGCTGAATCAGTGGAGAACCTGGAGAGATCGAAGCCATTCTCGAATTCCTCCATATCACCTCCTCTGTCGTATCTCGATCGTTTCTTGGGATCTGACAAAATGGTGTAGGCTTCCCCAATTTCCTTGAATTTCTTCTCTTGCTCTTTCTTCTCTGTGTCCGAAGCACTTGAATGCCTGTCAGGATGATGGACTAACGCCCTTTTTCTATATGCTTTCTTGATATCCTCGATGGAGGCTGCCTTGTCAACCCCCAGGATCTTGTAGTAATCTTTTTTCTTGGATCTCTTCAATGCTTCTTTCGCCTCCACCAGCAATCGCCTGTTCTCTCGTGACTTGTTGATCCTGCAGGCCCTCTCGAAGTCCCTGACTGCCTCCTCGTAATCCTGCAGCTCCATGTAACATGATCCACGCTTGAGGATTGCCTTCAAGTAGTTCTCGTCGATGTTCAAGGCCTCGGTGCATTCTGATATTGACTCGTTCAGTCGCCCCAATTTGGCAGCTGTCAGCGCTCGGTTGTAGTGGAGTTTCGTGTTGGCAAGCTTGTTCTGGGGGTCTACGGTCAGGGCTTCTGTGTAGAGATTGTAAGCCTCCTGGTAACGACCTGCTTTGAACGCTGTGTTGCCGTCCTCTTTTTTCTGTTTTAATTGTTTTGCCCTCTGCAGTAGAAAAAAGGGAATGTTAGATATGTCAAATTGATAAAAAGTAGTGTAGTGAAGTAAAAACATTAGGGGAGAGTGGGGCAAAATGATACATGAGGCAAAATGGAACAGTCGAGAAACGACTGTGGCGCAATTCAAGCAAAAATAGTATATTTCGCATCGAAAACCCCTGTGGCACTAGGTGCGAACGATATTTTTCCGTAGTGACTTTCACTTTTGCCAGTTTGGAGAAGGGTCAATACCAATCCCCGGACTGGGAAAAGTGAAGGTCAGTGCGAAAAATTTTTTTTAAGGCCCGCGTGTGTTATCTTTCGAACGTGATCTTGGTTGATTCTTTTTTATTTTGAAAATCTGAAATGTTCTTCAATTGCCATACAGTTTTACATAGCTCTGGAATTTTCAAAAATTACGATTGTACAATTAAAAAAGCGTTGAAAAAAAACTGAACATTTTCAAAGAGCGTTTTTGAATAATATTGGGAAATAAACCCAATAGGGAGGAAATTGCAAATTAATAATTTACAGTATCTAATGGTTGTCCAGTCGTCATTTGTCTCAATAGCCAACGTCTGTCAGATCGTTAGTTGTCATGATAAATTCACCCGTAGCAATTCCGAGAAGAAATGTAAAAAGCCACACAAATGAAGAACTTTGAAATCCTCATTTACTTATATTTATGCATATATTCTGTATATTTAAACCAAAATACAAATCAATCGATTGAGAATTGCGTCATGAGAACACTTAAAAATTCCATCAATGAAAAAGATTACAACCCAATTTTTTCTTTTTTTTTAACATCAAAACTGAAATAGTAAACTCATTAGCACGATAAATAAAGACCCCTGTAATTTTGGAATTTCAGTGCGGGTCCCCCTGAAAGTCTAAAATATCTGTATTATGTGCCTGGATACCCCAAGTTTTTCCTTAGCCACTGGATTCAGTATATTTTTTCACATTACCCCTATTTTTCTTTCTATTTTTAGAGTCTTCCAGGTGATGAATCATGAATTCGAGAATAAATCCCGTAAAACCCGTGTCTGAGAAAAAATGTGTTCATCTGGTTTCGTCAGAGCTACTGACATTATTTTTTATAATTCACCCGAAAGATGTACCTCCATCAGTTGACAAACTCCAGAATATTTCACGATTATGAAAAAATTCACTCATCAGAAAATGGATGGCCATCCTTAATTTACGAAGTTGTCAAGACTATTAAAAAATACCTTATATATTTCTAATGCCTTCGTGTGATCTGGAGCGAGTCGCAGTACTTCCTGGAAATGCATGAATGCCCTGTCTACATTGTCCTGATGATACAAACAAACTCCTCGCACGTACGTCGCGTCGATGTTTGACCTATCCACATGTAGTATATCACTGTGAACAAAATAAGAAAAAAGAATCAGTGAATTGCATGAATAAATTACGGAGTGTTACCATTGTGGAGGCGTTGAGGTGGGTGTTTTCAGCATAGATATGAGGCGAACTGGATGAAATTGCTACTGCAGGTGACATTTCAAGCGGAGGAGATGAATCATGTATCAGCATTGCTATTGCTGTCTAACAAGTGATACAATCTATTCGAAATTTTGGAACTCACTTTGCTATTTCCTGGGCTTCCTGGTACCTTCCCAGGTACGCAAGACATTCTGCTTTCATCAGTTTAAACCGCAAACAGTATTTGCTCACATCGCAGCATCGATCCATGCAATATACGACCTTGAAAATAAATGTTTTTTTATAGACATTGAGTAGAATCGATGATGGGTCCATTGAAGGATACTCGTTACATCCAGATATTAATTAAGTCTTGATGAAGAATTTTTGTTTGAATAATTCAACATTCAACTGTGGAAACCTACTGAGTTGACTGTTTACTTCTAGATGAATCAGTACTGGAGTAGTTGAGGATATCAACTTTATCAAGTGCCTTGCCTTTTTTTCCATCTCCATTTGACCCTAACTTTCCGGACATTTTACAATGATTTTATTATTTAAACTTTGCATGTCTGAATTTCAATCTCGATATTGAACCGTTAGAAAACATTGTAAAAATCGGAAAAACATTAGAAAGTTTACTTCCGGAGGAAGATTGATGAAAGAATTGAAAAATAGCAATTTTTGAAAATTACGAGCATTCTCTATAAATCATTTATAAACAAACAATTTTCCACCATAAAAATCATTTGTGTCGGAATCGTAACAAATTTATTCATATTCAGAATTTCACCAAAATGGATTTCATGCCTAAATAAACAAGGTTTCCAAAAGTTTAAACAATGTCAGTTGGTTATTTATAAACAACAAATGTAAAAAATAGAACAATTTAGTTGATTAATTTGATGATTGAAAATGGCTGAATCTATAGTGTAGTCTGTACTGAACTGTAAAAGACACTGGGATATCCTTAAACGTAATGACCATGTAAATTTGTCATATTCCGTTAGATTGTTAGAAAATTACTGAATTTTTAATTAAAAAATTTGGAAATTTTTAACAATGAAGAGTTGACTGGAAATTTACACACACGTTGTTAGTGATGAATCAGCTAATTCCTGGAATATTCAATGGAATTACAATTTTAAGACCATACCGCACGGACAATGACTGGAAAAGATGAAAATTCAGGCAATTATTATTCTGAATTTCCAATTCAAATGAATTTTATGTTATTTCCGTGCTTGAAACATCAATGATTGTCTAACATGAAAAATTCCATTTCATCGAATGACTGTGATAGATAAGAAATTCTACAAACAATTTGGTTTTAATTGAATTAAAATTCATAATGTTGAAGATTCAAATACAGCTATTACTTCAATTGTAAACAATTTTTAACAGTGTATATTTCCAAGTATATCTATTGATAGTAAACAATGTTAGAAGGAAATCCTAAGACTTTTTTGGAAATTATTGTGGGTATGAAAAACGTTTCTTGACATTTTTTTCTAAAACTGTTCACTTCCAATGTGAATGCTCAATTAACGACAATTTCAAATGTGACTTATTACTATTTACCACTGCCATTTACTGTTCTACCACTTCATTACTGGAACATGAAATCCTCTCTATAATTAGTAATGTTAAGAAATGTATTTACGAAATGTTTGAAGGATTTTCTGTCATCAGATTAACAATTTTCAAAATAGTTCCGTAGTTGATAAGATGTAGCTTTAATTTATTGAATTTCACCACGCAATTACCGAATTGTTCGATAGTAAAAGAGTATTTAAACATGAAATCAATAATAATAGAATTTCGAAATACGCATGCTACTGAAGAATTGCATGAACCTCTTAGTTTAATCATTTTTGCTTCAATACTTCAGAAGTCAAGTAGGAAAATATCAGGGCTTCTCTCGTATTAGTTACACCTTTTCCAATTTTTTTCTCAGTTACTAGTTTCAAAATTTCTGACAGTAATAATGTGCATAATTTTTAAAAAATCAAGTCTCTTTCTACTCCACCTCGTTATGAATTTGATTTTCTATCGGTTTCTCGAAAAATAAAACTGAATCCAAAGTCGAATAAGAACTATCCCTCTCAAAACGGGTATCACCTGGCCTTATAGTCATTAAAACATTAAATTAAATTCCAAAATTAATTCTGTGAGATCATCATCAACTTCTTTGTTCTCCACTTTTTCAAACTACTGTAGGTCTCATTTTTTCAAATAATAAGCATTGTTATTAATGTTATTAATTCTCTTATCTTTATGGCAGACAATTTAAAATGTAAACGTCGATCATGATCTCATCGAATTACTTTTCAATCAAATTTGATGTTCCAACGACCGCAAGGTCACGTATTATCTGTATTAATTGAACATTATGATTCGAACAATAAATTTCTATAAAACTATTTCTATTTCCTATCATTTGACTAAAAACTATTTTCCATTTCTCGCTTCATGTCAATAAAAGTTATTCATTGTTTTGGCAGTAACATTATTAATTATTCTGTACTCACTTTACGGTAGTCTTTTATCGCAAAGGCGACATCCGCTTCCCGTAGAAACCGTTTAACGTGTAACAAGTCAGTGGACTCTGCGGTAGATGGTTTTCCCATTGTTGGATCTATTTGTGTCAGTTTATTTAATGTTGTCTCTGCTTCCACTATTTCTCCCAGTTTTAAACAACATCTGACCACTCTGGTATAGCCCTGAAGATAAGAACGATTCTTCATTAACATGAAAAGAAGGCTGAAGGTCATTTTAAGTGAGAGATTAGGATGAGTGAAGGAGGAATGAACATCATTCCTACATCTGTTTCTTAGTAGCGAAGCGGTAAAACGGTTTAAGGATATCCAAGTATTTTTTACAGTTTGGTACAGACCACACTATAGATTCAATCATTTTCAACCATCAAATTTGTCAAATTGAATTGCGTGAGAAAAATTTGAAAAAAAATCATGAACATTCAGCGTCATTCAAATTACGTTTTGCTCAGAATTATAATTTTTTTAACATTCGTTGTTCATAAATAACTAATTGAAATTGTTTAAACTTTCGGAAACCTTATTTTTTTAGGCATAAAATCGATTTCTGGTGAAATTGTAAACATGAATGAATTTTTTACAATTCCAAACAAATTATTTTTATGGTAGAAAATTGATTGTGTATAAATTGTTGATAAAGAATGCTCGTATTTTTCAGAAATTGCAATTTTTAAATTATTTCATCAATCTTGCTCCAAAAAAAACCTTTCTATTTTTTTTTATTTTTCAAATGTTTTTTAACGGTTCAATATCAAGATTCAAATTTAGATCTGGAAAGTTTGTCTCTATATTATAAAAACCAAATCGATTTCTGGTGACGAAACTTCGGTACTCGAAATTAAGATTCCAAAATTAAGGGCCACAAGGGTCAAAATAAGGATCGCAAGGGCCAGAATAAGGTCACGAAGGTCAGATTAAAGGCCACAAAGGTCAGAATAAGGGTCGCAAGGGCCAGAATACGGGTCTAAATAAATGTCATGGGGTTCAAAAACTGACGATCAGAACCTAAAGGTCACAGGGGTCAAAATAAGGGTCACAAGGGTTATAATGAGATTCAGATTAAGGATTCAAATAAGAATCACAAGGGTCAGTTTAAGGGTCCATGTAAGGGTTATAGGGGAAACTAAGCGTCAAAATCTCTTTATATTATTAAAAATAAAAAAATGAAATAAATTGATAATTTGGATTTTTGTATTATAAAAATCCAAAAATCCAAATCGACTTCTGGCGATGAAAATTTGGTACTCGAAATTACTATTACAAAATTCAGGATCAGAAATGAAGGGTCACGAGGGTCAGATTCAGGGTTACAAGGGTCAGAATAAGGATCATGGGTGTCATATGAGGGTTGGCGAGCGGAGCGAGCGAATGGCGTAGCCCTCTAGTAAATAATAAAATCATTATAAAATGTCTGGAAACATAGGATCAAATGGGACTCAAAGGAAAGCTTTGATGTCCGACTACAAAAACAGAGAAGCATTTCACTGATGAAAAAATAGTCAAAGTACTTGATCGACTTATATCCTTAAGTCGATTTACCCTTAGCTAAGTTTTCAAAAAATATCTCCGAATCTAAGGGAGATAACGACATTTTCGTATTTAACTTTCTTGTAGAGCGAATTGAGAACTACAAAAATGGTCATGACAAAAATTTTGCTATCTCCCTTAGATGTCGACATTTTCATTCAAAATCTACTTAAACTGTTTTACCACTTTGCTACGGTTTTCATTACCTTCAGAAAATTTGGATCAATTTCTATGGATTTTCGTGCGTCCACCAGTGCGTCCCGATACTGATCCAGCATCATATAACATGCCGCTCGATTTCCGTAGTATCTCGCAACATTGGGACAAAGCTCTGAAAATAAATACGGGCCAACAATGTATTATATGGTTCTTCTCAAGTACATGGTGATGCAACTTGTCCTGAATTTTATGAAGGAGTAATTCGAGGGTAATTTGATTCTTCTCTTGTATCATTATCATCTTACCTATTGCATTCGTGTATGATGATAGCGCCGATTTGTATTGTTTGTCTTCGTAGTACTTTTTTGCTCCTTCAATTTGTAATTCCGCTTGTCTGAAATATTTCAATGAAAAAATTAGAGTAATTTTTTATTGATGACAGTCGAACAAAATAATCATTTTTTCCAAAAATATTCATGGTTCAGAAATAAATTCAACAGAATGCATGAAAAATTTTTTGAACAAAAGTGGAGAGTATTTATTCGGCCACATTCTCTTCACTCTTCGTTGTCTCGTTATAAGATTATTCCTTTGGGATGAAAGCTTTGTAATCGTTCAAATTCAAGTTTTGGATTTTTTGTATTATATCAACCGAGTATGATCCAAAAAGTCCGAAAGTGCAATTTTTAGACCTCGCCCGTACGTGTGTGTATGTAACAATTTTTTCATCACGCTGTGCGAAAAAGGAACTTTTTAGGCACCCTTTGCGTGCCTAAAACGCTTTTCCACACATTGTGATGAAACATATCGTTCGATACTCGTGGGAAAAGTGTTTTTCGCCTCGCCTTCGGCTCGTGCTATAAACCTCCCACGAGCCAAAAAACTCTTTTCCGCACTCGTAACGAAATATACTATTTTCTTCAATTCTTCGCTAATGACTGCATGGAACTGAATCTTTTTTTTCAAATGTAGGTATTGTTGAGCCCTACCAATCGGGATTAATTAACTTTTAATTCACCGACGAGCGTTTTTAATTTTCGAATTTTTTCGAAAATTGGTTGTTCTACGATAACTAAAAAAAAATGTTCTGCATTGACTGAATGGTGGCTTAAAAATTTTGTTTGGATGTCCTTTTGACCGAGTTCGAAGATGAAGGCGATAACAATAATCGTTATTTTGAGTTATTTGAAAATTTGCAAAAAATTTGTATTTTTTGAAAATCAGAATTCCGGGGATATCCTTCAATATCCTGCTTTAAATGAATTCAATCATAATTTAAAATGTTTGTTTTAATGCTATTAAGTCGAAGTTAAAAGATGATTACGATAGCTATATTGGTTAATTTGATTTTTATGATTGTTGAAAATTTCAAATTGTTCATGAATTTCCCTGAAAATGAGCTTTCCGATGGTTTCTTAAAATGTTATGTTTCAAATTCATTCAAGTATGTATAAATAAAATTGTTCTATTAACATTTCATCGAAGAGCTGAGGGGAGAGATACAACCGTAAAAAAGACAATCGGTTGTATAGAAGAAAGGGATAATAGAAGAATGATAAGAATAATGATGATGATAACATTCAACTAAGTTGAAAATCTGGCAGAATTAGTTGAAAACAAATCTTATTCAATTTAATAAAATGAAATAAAAAATGAATTATACGTGATAGAAGGCAATAATGTACAAAATAACCATTCGGAAGCATATCGCTCATTTATTAGCAAATATACAAGAGCAATTTCCCATTTGTTTATTTGAATTGCATGGGTAAATGCTTAAGGGGAGACTACTATGAGATTTAAAAGTCGTGAGTTATTGGGGTGAGACTTTTCATACATTGAAGATCGATTATATAGATCTGAAAACGAGTAATTATTGCAAAAAAAATTTTTGTTTATTGTTCGTTTGCCCGAAAATGCTTAAAATGCTAAAAACAGTCCAAGGCCCCCAATTTTTTAGCTACAAGATTTTTTTTTTTCAAAATTTTCGGAAAAATGTGTGGAACAACAATTACGAGCCAGTTTTTTAGAATTCGACTCCTACACAGCTGATTTCATTTTTTTTTTCATATAAAAAAATGCACTATTTGTGTAAAAAAAATACAAAAAAAGCAAATTTAGCCGTGTAAGAGTTGAATTAAAAAAAATAGCTTGTAATTGTAATTCCACATATTTTTCCGAAAATTTTGAAAAAAAAAAAATCATTCGTAGCTCAAAAATTGGAGGCCCTCGACTGTTTTTGGCATTTTAAGCGTTTTCGGGCAAACGAAGAATAAAAAACTCACAGTAGTTTGCCCTTACCAAATGGATGCTTTCACTGTATACTATACTCCGAAATTAGATTTTTTGGTGCAACTGTTGAAAAGTAACGAAACACCGAGAGAAAAATATCGTAATTTCTGCAGAATATATGCTACTGGATGCATGTTCTTTCATATCAAAATAGTATTTCTTTGTTTTAACGTTGTAATTCTTCATTTCAAGAGTGGATTCCTTAGAGAGCGTAGATAACGGAATATTCCTTCGACAATGAGGCATTATTTCATTCAAAATATGCTACTGAATACGATTCCGTTGATGTCGCCTACAATAAGGTTTCAAATCGACGGAACTTGATGCATTCAAATAACTATTAAAATTGGATGAAAAATTAAATAGCATTTCATTGTTTTAACGTTCTAATTCTTCATTTCAAGAGGGGATTCCTTAGAGAGCGCAGATAACGGAATATTCCTTCGAAAACGAGGCATTATTTCATTCAAAATATGCTACTGAATACGAATCCGTTGATGTCGCCTACAATAAGATTTCAAATCGACGGAACTTAATGCATTCAAATGACTATTCAAATTGGATGAAAAATTCAGGGAATACGAAGGAATATATGATCGATTGGAGCCCTCATTAGATCGAATCCATACGTCTCATGTTGGGAATCCTCAGAATCAACTATTAAAGGCTACAATTTAATCGTGCAATCGGCTGAAGGTTACAACATATTTTGTATTGCCAATAGATTGTTTTATTAGCACGATTGAAAAGCACTGAGCGTTTGAGTAAACAAATAATCTGTCCCTTTTACTACATTCTTCTCTCAGTGTAATATTATTGAATCTTAATAAAAATGAAATAGTTTTGTTTTATCATTCGCAGATGACAAATTATTAGGGGAAGAGTTAAAATGAGCCTTTTTTAATGATGAATTACTCAAGATCAGCAGAGTAAAATTGAATAATTTCTTTTTCATTTTTACGGTATTCCTCTGGGTTTCAAAATGAGACCCGATCTATCCTTTACTGAGTTATCGATTATTCAAGAAGGCCCATTTTACCTCACTCTTTCCTACATCAGTAAAAATTCAGGAAAACTGTCTCCCTTGCAGACAGGAAAAATACAAAAAATTATCTTTTATGAATTGTTTCAATTTATACACCGTGTTATCGATTTTCTACGTCACGAGAATAACAATTATCTTCAGTTGAACATTCTTTATATTCTTCCTTGCAAAATTAACGCATAGACGATGAAATAATTGACTTGTTAGATTGATTCCTCCATCATTTTCCTCACATTTTACTCCGAAATATTATCTAAAAAAAATTATCTTCACTCAAACATTAAAAAATAGGAAAATTTTTGAATTTATGTTAATGGAGATGAGTGCTCACAATTTAAAGAGAATTAAATTGCCTGAGGGATAGTGTGATCTCTGGAACAATCGTGAGGAATTCAAGTGTCATTCATTGCGTAAAGTTCTCAAAATTCATGCAGTGGTCTTGAAATTCAACGAAAAGTCTGGTGTACCGACACTCGTCACCATATGCAGAGTGTTGGATACGTAACAATTGAAGTATCGACACAATCGACCAAAAGCTAGAGAGAGACAGACATTAATTTATATCATACTCACTCAATTGATGAACTGATGTCTGTTGAATCCATGATGACAACATCGTCATTAGTTTCCATATTCATTGTTTCATCAGCCATGATTTGTCGGGTTTTATTGAAAAGTGGCACAGTGAGAAAAATATGACGAGTTTTCCTTGTGACTCGGGGGCTTCGATCGCGTGCCTCGTTGTCCCCAACACTTGTCCCCCCTACGTACTGTTAAACAAAGAATAACTTCACGGATTTTGGAGTTGTACTAACTGAGGATGCACTGGGCTACACTGGTCACTGTCGCGGGAAGAAAAGACCCAGAAATGTTATTTCCGGGGTGACAAAAACGATTGAGGTCTTTTTTATCGTTTTTTTGCCCCTTTTCTGGCGACCAGACAGCGACGTGCTTGGCTGCGGAAGCACAACGGCTGTGGAAAGGGAAAGGAGGAGACGAGGAAAGGAGTGGAACTGTGACTCAACTCAATAGAGAATTGTGGAATTGGAATGAAACGTTGAAACGTGGGAATTGAACCGAAATTTGAATACAGCAAACTCTCCAAGATAGAATACTCTCACTTGGTGTTTTGTTGTAAAACACTGACGCGGGTACTTCTGAGGTTTTTGAGAGGGCCCTATCCCTGGGGTTGTAAGTCCCAGGTATGCCTTTACTGCAGCTCGTCAACGTTGTTACTAGAGATGCAAAATGACCGTCATTTGTTAGATCGTGTCATATGACCAAAAAATGACGGTCTTATGACGGTCATGTGACGCACAAATTTTCCAACTACAAATGATTGTCACAAATCATTTGTAACCAAATTGTTGTCAAACCATCTATATAGTTGCATAATGACGGTCATAACTAATTTCCAATTTGTGACGGTCATGAATAAAACAAAATAGCTTCATCTATATAGATGAAAAAAAAACATGATTTCCATTTCAAAATACGGATTAGGCCAATACAATAGGAATTCAACTGAAAATTGACCGAGAAAAAAATAAAGCTTCATCTATATAGACGAAAAATGACCGTCATTTTTTCTTGACAAGTTGCGACAGTCACAGAAGGGGGAGGGGGGCATTTGACAGCCGTCATGAACACCTCGTGATGTGACCGTCAATGACGGTCACATGACCGTCATATGATGGGTCATGTGACGCATTTGCATCTCTAGTTGTTACAACGGCTAATATGGGAACGTGAACCGTATTAGCTTGTATGTAAGGGATGGTGTTTTAAGGTGTTAACAAAGGATTAACACTGAGGTCAATATTACAGTCTTGTTTAATTACACACACTATTAAAAGAATAATAACACAAAAGCACATAAAAGTCTAACTTTCACTATGATAAATTGTCTAATGGATAAATCGAAGGGTATAAATAGGGCACAATATAACACTACGACTGGAGTATCACTATTGCGTGCTTGAAAGTTGATTTTTGAATTAAAAGAATAACCGGAAATAAATAAAAGGGTTCAGAGGGAAGCGTCTGCACACAACGTTGTCTCGAAGGTAACTAACTAGAGTTTTACGAGCATTCCAAGTTCTGTCTTTGAAACTGAAAGAGATGAAAATTCTCACTGGCTAACTTACTTTGCTAGTCTTAAATTATTATGGTTGAACGAAAGTGAGAAGGCGTTGCGAAAATGACCGTTGGGAGGTCTTGGGCATTTCCCAAATTCTGAAATACCCTTTTTTTTGCTCGTGGGGAAAACCCAGAGACCCTCTGTTTTTGAGCATCTGCCAACACATGTGGGAACTGTCCCGTTCCTTCCGACTTTCCTTAAGTCTGGAATTTATGATTCTACTATTATGAACGAAGTTTCAGTAAAATTCTCGAATTTTAAAGGATATTTTCTCGTGACTGACAAAAAAAAGGGATAGCTGGTCGAACCCCAAACTCTCGATCTCCGTAAATTATGATCTCAGAATTTTCCCCATTCTAATAACATGTAAAAAACATCGGTTCTTGTACCGAACACTTGGAATATTTTTCTCCTTTCATTTGGAATATTTTCTTAGAGCCGCGGGTGTGGGGGGATATTCCTTGTTGGAATTTTACATTTTTTAGGATATTCCATGTTGGAGAGTTTACTGTACTCCGCAGAGTTAGGGGAAGATGAGGCCCGGGTTGGGCGTGTAAATTACGTTGGTAAATTACCTCGATGGGTTTTTTACATTACTTCGAAAAGCTTGCATTTTTCGGTTACTAGAATGTTTTATGTTATTCCAACTGATGAAGACGCAGTTAACTTTTCCACTACCGTATACCTTTCGGTTTCTTACGGATTTCACTTTTCCAGGAGCCTATTAATTCCTAATGCTTCTTCCAGCGTTCGAAAAATTCGAACCTTTCCAGAGGTGTTCCCTCGCGGCCACCCATCCTTCTAGTGACCACGTTCAGCGCTACTTAGCTTCCCAAAGCCAAGAGAGATTCTCCGCCATGTTATTTAAGCTCTAGCGTTGCCGGATTCACTCTAGACTGCCCGGGCACGTTTAACGAGTTTCCGGCAACGTCACGTAATGAACAATTTCATTTAACATGGGAAAAAATCATTCATCTGTTCGAAATAATTTGTTTTCTGCAGGAATTTCGGGAACTATATTGTTCTAAAAAGTACTATAATTCTTTAGACACTTCAATGGATAAAGTCAATTTTTTTTTTAATTTTTCCGGTTAGTCAGTCAATTGTAATTGAAGAAAAACGACATGCGGCGGGGTTAATAGTTCTTCATTTCTTTTCAATTAATTTTCCGAAAATTCGGCATGTGTAGGGGACGGTAGGGAAAAACGGACACTTTTGACTCTTTTTTAAATATTCATAACGTGTTGAATTATTCATGAAATGGAATAATTTTATTTTTCGATTGAAAAACAATGATTCCTCTTTGTGATGAGCTTAGACTGAGCGTAATTGATAAATCTGTTTCTGAGTTCTGAATATTTTTAAAAAAGTCAAAAGTGTCCATTTTACCCTACCCTCCCCTAATGCAAAGTTTTTTTTCAACAAAATGACCTATTACAAAATTAAACACTCACAAGTTTTAATTGAATAATGTGGAATGCAGATTGCACAACATGTAATTGGAAGGGTACACTATAATTTAATCTAGTTCAATACGTATATCGCGTGTAATTGAAATATGTGGATTACAATTTCTAATGACAAGATCTTAATGCAAACTTCACATGTGCCAAAAAACTAAGGAATTCCATTGTGTAAACATAACAGGTCATTATGTTAAGAAAATATTCGGTCAGCGTTAAAGTACACAGAGAGAAAAAGTTTTGATTTTCAGGGATCCTCTCCGAATCGTTAGAAACATGTTACAGATTTTCAAGAATTTGTAATTATAATAATTCAATTGGGGATTTGCGATTGGGAAATTCAACGTGTGTGAAATCGTGAAATTCAGGGAGTTTGTAAGCAAATTTTAGATGACATTGCCCTAAATTACCAGTGATATCGTCACTACTTGTTATGGACATCATCATTAATTTTCGGATGAGGAAGGAAAATTCTGCAGTGGGAAATCCTACAGTCGTCTCTTTTACGAGACTCCCGCTCGATAATGAAACTGTAAGATTGAGTGTCAGAAAATTTGGCGACGCAGCCGGGAACCGAACCCGGGTCCCCCGCGTGCCAATTCCACACTTTACCACACAGCCACGGCCGTCGGTAATTTTTATAGTGATTTCACTAATTTTCAGGGACCTATCTCTAATTTTTAATAATCTGTATATCGACAAATTTCAATGAATAAAAATCACTGATGATCACAGTTATCCTAGTCAGTGTCCAGTATGATCGGTAATTGGTGATAGATTTTTAAAAATCAGTGACATGTTCGTGAAAATCAACACTTTCTTTGACTATATGTAGAAGACCCTCAATTTTCGAATACTAGTCCAGAAATTTCTACACTGTTGAAAGTTTTTAGCCGAAATTTCCCATTTATTTTTCGGAAATTTTTATCACATTTAAGTTTCGCTAAAATTTCAAGGAATTTCGTCATTGAAAATTGGGAATTTTGGGGAAAAGTCGATGAGAACTGTAAAATTTAGTTCAATTATTCTCGGAAAATTAATAGAAAACCACAAAGTTTCAATAAACATATTCTTGAATTTTCAATTATTGGAGAATTCATATAAATTGAAACATTCTCATCTTCATGCTTCTTAAAATTTCTCAATTTTATTGGATTTTCAGTGAAATCTGAAATTTTATTATTTTTTCCCCCTTAAATTGCATTCAGTGGCACTGCCTTGAAAATTACGAGTCTATGAAATTTCATTTTTTTCTAACCGTGTAATAATGAATAAATAAAGTAATGAATGAATAAAAATGATGGTCAATTTGCAACTATATAGACGATTTTTGGTCATTCTTACCTGTGTTGGACACAACTTCCCTACGCCGGTGTCATTTTGCATACCAAGTTCGGTCAGGGTCAGAAAACGGTCGGAAATCGGTCATTTACGACCGATCTGAGCAAAAGGGAAAATTACGCTATTCCACATCTCTAGTCACATCATGCTTATGGCCAATAGACCTTTTCATTCTGGAAATCTAGGGGAAATATTTATTTCGTTCATTCAACGAAAAAATCTCCGAAAAAACCATGGAAAATTCTGATAAATATTGAACTTTACAATTAATGATATACACTTGAGCGCTCAAAAACCATGATTTATATGTAAATTCGATAAAGTGTCCGCAAATCCTAGGGGGAATTGACATGGGAAAAAAGTGACTCTCAGAATGAAAAGGTCTATTGTCTTTTTTTTCTGACCATATGGTCAGATTCTCGACGCGATAATTACCGGTCATGGCGGTGGTCATAGACGGTCATTTTTGTCACTCACATCTCTAGATGTCACATCCATGTTGACAGACAAATATGTGAATATCTCGGAAACTAGACTCGCCAAATAATCGACCGTTGAAAACGTATGAAAAACGTCGATGTGTGGATATGAAAAACCAATGTTTTCGATTAATCGACAAACATCGCTCATCTCTAAGTGCGACAATAATGAGAGTTTACTGTACCGTATCATTTATTACCGAAATATGTAACTGATTCATACATTCCTTTATTTTTTGAATCGAATCTCTGTTCTATCGAGAATTATTCACCGAGTTTGTTTACTTTCCCCCACTTATTCGTGAGGCGTTCGCCGAGCGACGCGATGGATACAGGGGGGTGTTAGGTTTAGGTGTAATTTTACATTCGCATTCCAGGGCGCTCGTCTGTGCACCAACGTTTCAACGTTAGCAGTTATTTTACGGCGAAAGGAGAATAGAAATTTAACATTAGATAGTTACATTTATCTACCCTTCAGTGGCAAATTAACGTTCAATTTGTCGAAGATAAGGGGTAGGGAATAGAACCTGGAAGAACCAAACATTGCGCGGAGTTGGCAGCCACCTCGTGGTGCCGCTTAGTGTTCTGTGCCGGTCCGATTATTGAATCACAGTCTACAGTCAGTCAGTGTCAGTCAGTGTTTGCGCGCAGCGGACAAAGAAAGTGGAAGAGAACCATCATCGCTCCCGAAATTTCTTCGGCTTCCTCCATGCATTATTTGTCTACTGCCCCAGTGGATTTTTTTAAAGAGAAAAGTGCACACTATTTCGGTGGAAATTAGAGGAACATTTGGGGTGAAGCTAGAAGCGACAACCTGTGGATTGAAGTTTTGCGGGCAGAAGAAATCTAAGAACAAAGGGAAAAATGGCCGCAATGGATCCACTGGTGATTTGTCCCTACGACCCTGCCCACGAAATCCTCAAGAGCAGACTGCAATTTCATCTGGTCAGGTGTGCAAAGAATCACGAATTCCAGGACAAAGAAGTGTGCCCCTACAATGCAGTTCACATCATCGACAAAATTCATTTCCAAGTAAGTAATGAGATGTGTCTCTGCGTGAAGGGAAAAAAATCGCATGGAAAATGACGGTACAATTCAGTAGCGAAGCGGTTCTCAAACAAGTCTTTCTTGTGCCAAGAAAATAGTTTTTCGAAAATTATCAAAAAAGGATTTTTTTGTGCCAAACATGCAGAGAGTGCGTCGGAATGAAAAAATTTTGTCGCACAAATAGATTTAGTAGTTAAAAAAAAATTGTATTCTCTGTACACGCAAGAAATGCCATTTCTAGCACTACGCCTTCGTTGCTCGATATTCCCATACGTATTTTGCTCCCGAAAAATCTTTGTGTTATGCGAAACAAGGGAGTACAAACAAGTAGTTTTTCGTTTGGGCTGTCTAATAATCACAGACAACAAATGAATCCTTAAATGAAACAATAATAATGATATAATCTTGTAACTTAGGGATAAAATATTTGTTGATAATTTTTTTTCCTCTGTATGAGATATTTTCATCCTGAAAAGGCACCGTCTGATGTGAATTATGCGCCTTGAGGGGCTAGTCACTTAGGAAATCACTGGACGACTCGACTGGAAATCAAGGAATAAATCACCAGAAATCAATGGAAATCACTGGAAATCAAGTGATTTCCATTTTCGGTAGTGATTTTTAAAGATTTCTAGAAATCATCGGAAATGAATAGAAATCATAAAGAAATCAGGTGATTTCCGAAATCATTAGAAATCATCGATATGTGTAAAATCGAAATTGATTTTGCAGTTTCAACTCTACAATTTTTGTCAAGGTATCGGTGTGTTCGAAATCAACCAACCCCGAAATGTGACAGATGAAGTTTTTAACATCCTTACGTATTGGAATGTCATGTAGAAAACTGCCATTATCGACAGATGCCCCACTCTCGTCCCGAAATCATGATTTCTTCAGTGATTTTTTGAAATCAAGAAATCATTGGAATCTACTAGAAATCATAAGAAATCAAAAGAAATCAGGATTTATAATGCTGATTGAGAAATCACAGAAATCAATAGGAAATCAAAGGAATTCATCTGATTCTGGAAATCACTGAGTCACTCGAGTGAGGAGTGACCAGCCCCTCGATGCGCCTCTTGAGCCACATATTTCGTTGCTGTCGAAAGCAGAACAATTATTCATGTTTGAGACTTTCAAATTCGAACCACAGGAATTCTTATTTGGCAATTTTCAACTAGCGATTTTGTTGACCCACACAAGATTTGTTTAACAACAAGTTTGTTTTTCTCTCGGTGCAGCTTGTGTAAAAATCGAGATATCAACTTGAAATTTGTACAGAAACTATGTATATCCGCTCATACGCAGTATTCGAAACATTGAAATCTTGATAGCACCCATGCAGGTGGCAGTAACCAACTGAAATTTTTGTTGCTAGTTAGTGTTGTGAACCTATAAACTTTTGGAATATTTCAGACCATTCGGAAGCCCGCCGTCAACGTATTGATGGCGAAAAAAATTAATGTTCGCCGTCGCCTGGCTATTTTGTTACTCTTGATTTAAAATCAAGGTGATTTGAAATCACCTGATTTCAATACACTTATTCATGTTTGAAACTTTCAAATTCAAACCAAACAAATTTTTTTTTGGCAATTTTCAACTAGCGATTTGTTAGCCCCACAAGACTTGTTTGACAACGTGTTTATTTTTCTCTCAGTGTCCTTCACACTCGTGAAAATTATCGTCTGACATGTGTAGAATAATATTTTATTGACAGTGATGTTACGTTCAACGAGTGGCTGAACTATGTCTTTTTCGTTTACAAGTAAACAACAAGACTTGCGTTTACTTTTCGTTTACGAGTAAACGAAAATGCACTTTTCGACACGAGGTGAACGTAGCAGCAGTGTCAAATTAGTATATTTCGTATTTTTAGCTCGTGGAATTATATCACTCGCCTTCGGCTCGTGATATAAACCTCCCATTCGCCAAAAAACACTTTTTTGCACTCATTACGAAATCTACTATTTCACGAGTTACGAACAATATTTTTCGTCACAATGTGGCGGAAATTGGACTTTTAGGCACGCGGAGCGTGCCGAAAAGTTCACTTTTCGTCACAGCGTGATGAAAAGTATAATTTCGTCATTAGGCCGAAAAAAAATTTTCTGGCGAATATGAGTTGGCAGTTCGAGCCGAAGGCGAGGGCTGCAATCGTTGGAGCTAGAAAAGTTTTTTTTAGGCCGTATGACGAACAATATTTTCATATTATATTCAAATTATATTTTCCACAGAAGAGATATTTTGTCGTGTTGAATCAATTTAGGTGTAGACGATAACAAAAGTTTCCACCAATGAATGATCATTTCCGTTGTGGTAATTGTTTTTATAAGAAATTTATATATCTTCCGGGTAAATATACTAGTTCGACAGAGAATTAGATGAGGCTTTGGTTTTGTTAAGTAAGCGTTATTGAGTAGCGTATATATTTTTTGGTAAACAGTTATAATTTTCATAGAATTAATGGTAATTTTAAGAGAAAACTACATTCAGGTTGTTTTATGTGGACATTACATTTTGGTGATTGCTCGCTGTATTTGCAGGATCACTTGGTCACTTGTCCAGATTACAGGGAGGTCCAGTCATTTCGTTTCAAAACTGACGACAAAGAACTGCATGGCATCGTATCCATGGACGAGGTCGCTCAGGCTCACTCGAGACCTGTTATTGGAGAGGAGGATTGGGATAATGTGAGTACCGACTAATACAACTGTTGGTTTATTGGAAGCCAGGTGAATAAATAAAAGACACTTTTGTTAGAGCAATTAGACTTGGTTTTTATTAGGACGTGTTCTCGTATCGAGAGCAGTCTCAGAACTGAATAAAGAATATCGAAGTCACAAAGACCATAGCCTTTTTATTATGGTTTCTTTTTCACCAGGCTTTATCATATGTTTATATTATTTAGTAAACATTTGACTGGAGTTTCGTCGTAAGACCCCACAGGCGGGTCTCTCCAGGAAGAGGGATCTCATAGTATAATAAACCCAAGTTATATCGTTCAATAATATGATCGAATTGTTTTTACTCTTTTCAATAACAACATACTGAAAGACTTTATTTTAAGGATGTCCAAATACTTCATTCAAATGAGCAACTTTTTTTCAAGCAAGATTTCAGTTTTGCCGAAAATCTTGTCTTCCTTATACTTTTTGGGATTTTTCATTGTTGAATACATTTTCTCGGGAATTTCTTTAATGAATATTCTGAACGATATTTTATTCATTTTCACACTTGACTCTCGTAGGTACAACCTCTAATGATCATACGGCAACACTGCAACCTCGTAAATTCGGTCTGAGTTGCCAGACATCAGGCTCGTGTGGATTCAAACCACCCAATATGGTCATCGTCCCAATAAAGAAGCTTTTAATTTGATTGTTTGCAATTATCTGTCCGGAAACTTGTGTTTTTTAATGTCGCAAACAAGGATCGCCATCAGTCTTCCGATTTTTTAATATTAAAAAATTTTCGGACTTACATTGATTAAGGTTTAAAATATACTACTCGAAATTTAAAAATAGTCAAATAATTGATAATCTAAATTTCCGATCGATGGTAAATTAAATATTTTATAGTATGGAACTGTAAATTTTTTATTAAGTAATAATACTAAATCTCTGCTAAAGGATTTTCGATTATCCAAATAATCGTCAATCTTCCTAACTAAATTACTGACTAATAAGTAATTCGGAATTAGAATCTTTAAATTGATGATTACTTCAATAGTTAAAATTTAAGAGTGATATTAACCAATTGAAGCCTTAATAATTTAACGATAATTATAATTTGTGGATAAGGCTATCCCTGGTGCCAAAAAAACTAGTTTCTCTATATAATAAAAATCCAAATCGATTTTACGTGATTAAAATTTGCTACTCGAAATTAAGACTCCAAAATTAAGGGTCACGAGGGGTATATGAGGGTCACGAGGGTCAGATTAAGGGTCACAACGGTCAGAATAAGGATCATAGGGGTCATATGGGGATCATATGGAGGGTGGCGATCGGGACTAGCAGGGGGCTTAGCCCTCCTAGTAACGAATAAAGTCTTATACGGTTACGTATACGAGAAAACGCTGTAAGATGATGAACTATTGGACCGAGAGCCTGGTCACTTAGGAAGTCACTAGACCACTCGATTGGAAATCAAGGCAGAAATAATTGGAAATCAAGGGATTTATATTTCCGGTAGTGACTTCAGGAAATAATCAGAAATGAGGAGAAATCATAAAAAAATCAGGTGATTTCAGAAATGATTCGAAATCATCGATAAAAGTGAAACCCAATTTTTTTATTCGAGCTCACTCATACGATCGCGCCTGACCCTCATGACCTTCTTATGCAAATGTCATTTGATTCTTACTATCACATCCATGAGGCCCTTCTAAACTCTTTGGTTCCCCGAGTCTTACCTGTATGCGATTATCGACAGATGCCCCACTTTAGCTCCGAAATCATGACTTTTTGAGTGATTTCTTGAAATCGAGAAATCATGAGAGTTTACTAGAAATAATAAAAATCACGACAAATGAAGAGAAATCATTATTTCCCAATTCTTATTGAGAAATCACAGAAATCATCCAGGAAATCACAGGAAATCATTTCATTCTGGAAATTACCGAGTCACCCCATTGAGTGACCAGCCCTTCGTATTGGATTGAAGATGGGAGTATACATCAGCTCTTATGGACGCAATGTGTTAATTTCATTTTTTTAACTCCTCACGTACGGGCTCCATACGATGTATGGAGGCACGAACTTGTCCTATCGGCCGGGGTCCATACATCGTATGGACCCTTTCCGTCAACAGTAAAAAATTATTTTCTCTAATTCTAAGACACATATTGACATTTGGAAAAAAAATTTGGAAAGTCAATAAAATTGTTTGTGCAGTGAGTTCATTGATTTTTTTTCTCAATGTATTTTTTATATTTTTTTTTATATCAACAAAAGTCGTGGATGAAAATACTATTTTGCTCCGATTTAATCATATTCAATCATCTCGTTTGTCGAGAAAATTTTACAGAAATTTTTTAGAATTTTTGCTGAAAATACTTTGATGACCTTCCTATCGAATGGCACAAGTTAAATTTCAATTCATTGAATAATGTATTTGTTATAAATAAATTCAGCGAATTTGGAGATCTCGGTGAAAAATTGTCCTGGAGGATAAATCGGTGTGACTTGAATGCGGAAAAAACAATTCTCAGGGCGCTTATTTCAAATTTCAATTCATCCAATGCATTTTATTTCAAGTTTTCTCGATCACCTGTTTTCGAGTTATTGCTGATTAAACAATGGAATTGGCGCGTCGTCGTAAGCCTCTCGCCCGTTGGGACAAGACGCATTCTAGGGACCCCGTACGTGAGGGGTTAAATTCTTTTCTCGAAAAAATGTTCGGAAACTAAGGTTGATATTGTGCCTAAAAAATACTCTTGGTCGATTCTATAAACTCTGACGAGGATTTCTTCCAGAAAAAATTATTCGAACTACTTGGACATCTTTAAGGTATATCCCAAGACCCCAATCGACCCCAAAAGTTAGTCCCTTTGGATTTCTGAAAAAAAAATCTAAATGACTTAATTTATTGCATTCTCATAAGTCATTGAGTGAAGCGAGCGACCGGCACTATTTTTTTATGAATTAAAATTTTTGGTGACTGTCAAAAATTGTGATGCTTTATAGATACTGTTATAAAGTTTAATTTAACTCTGACAAGTAAAAACTCGAGATGATCTTTAATTTCAATTTTTAAGCCCCCTAACCCTCTGAAGAGAAAATCCTATCAAACTCGCGGTGTGAGCGGAGTGCAGGCACGGGCAATCGTGATTAGGCTTTGCGTGTGGTAGTGAGCGTTTAGCGTTCTTCAGAGGATTAAGGAATTTATGGCGTTGTCTCGAGACAAAAAAAAAATCAAGATATTGATAATTTTTTGTAAATACGTTCTTCTATGTATTAAGAAATCAAGTGCAAAATCTCAGCCTAGGAGAAGGACAACAACGGAAATAATTTCTAAAGTTGCTATTTATGCATGTAGTTGAATGGGGCATCGATAATTTCAGCAGTGTTCTCATGTTGCCGATAGATCGATAACGTAGGGAAAACGCTGAAATTATCGATGCCCCATTTAACCTCATGCATAAATTGCAACTTTATAAATTATTTCCGTTGTTGTCTTTCTCCTAGACTATCTGAGATTTTGCACGTGATTTCTTAATACATAAAAGAACGTATTTACAAAAAATTATCAATATCTGGACTTTTTTTTCTCAAGACAACGCCATAAATTCCTTAAATCTTTAAAACATCCGTAAATCAGATGCACATGAATAAAATGAAACATTCGAAGCATCGATGTTGAAACATCTCATCATATTTATGAAAATTAGATTGAAAATATTCTACTTCTATACTTACAGGATGTTTACCATCAGACGTATGATCCGATCAAGAACTCAGAGGGGAAACCCCTTGTGAGAAGTTTGATTGGAGCTTCTAAAGCCAAGCGACGTGAGTTCAGGATGAGAGAGCGAATGAGAATGGCTCAATTTGTTGATGAGAAACCCACACCAGAGTCATCGGAAGTGAAGCCTGATGCAAAGGTAAATAGACAAAGAAAATAACTATATTGATAGAAAATAAAAATCTCGAACACATCTCATTTCCACAAAGACATTCAGTAGCGAAGCGGTAAAACGGTTTAAAGATATTCAAGTGTCTTTTACAGTTTGGTACAAACCACACTATAGATTCAACCATTTTCAGTCATCGAACTTGTCAAGTAAATTGCGGAAGACAAATTTGAAAAATGTCATGAATATTCAGCATTTATCAAATGACAATTTGCGGAGAATTATTATTTTAAATAATTAAAATTTATTAAACTTTTTAATTAATTAAAATTTTTTAAACGTTCGGAAAACTTATTTTCTTAGGCATGAAATCAATTTCTGGTAAAATTCTGAATATGAATCAATTTGTTACGATTCCGAACTAATGATTTTTATGGTGGAAAATTGCTTGTTTATAAATTATTTTTTAAAAAATGCTCGCAATTTTGAGAAATTGCAATTTTTTAATTCTTTCCTTAAACCTCCAAAAGTAAATTTTCTATTTTGTTCAGATTTTTAAAATGTTTTCTAACCGTTCGATATCGAGATTCAAATTCAGACCTGCAATGTTTAAATAAGAAAATCATTGTAAAATGTCCGCAAATTAAGGGCCTAATGGGGTTCAAATGAAAGCTCTGATGTGCGACTACAAAAGTAGAAAAGCATTGCAGTGGAGAAAAAATAGCCAAACTAGGGTAAACAGGTCAATTTCTGGACAGGGGTTAGTTTCTGGGCGATTTCAACTTGCATAGAATATTCCATCAATAGAATGAAAATTGTACTGATTATTTCACCTTTCAATAATATTACTCGTGTATAAACATGTGATCAATTATTGTTTCCATTGATCGACATTTAGGGGTTTCGGCTACATTCAACTATTTCTTAATTTAATAATTCTTTGTTTTGTTATTTTCACTTCAAATCATTTTTTTCTGCTAATTAAAACGTTGTTAAAGGTATGGAAGCCACCATATCCCCATTTAGGTAATTTTTTTATTTTAGATCCAACTACTATGAAACTCGAATTTCCCTTAACCGTCCACTTGGATATCCTTAAGTTAACTTCGCTCTCAGCTCCAAATCTCCAAATCTGAGGGAGCTAGCAAAATTTTTATAATTTCTTTTTTCGTAGCTCTTAATTCGCTCTATAAAAAAGATTTGTTTGGTGAGGAACTAGGTTTAGGGTGAATCCCGGAAAAAATGGAGGTAGATGCTGGAAAATTAATTGTTGAGACGGATTATAAAAATCGCCGTTTATTGTGGGATCGAACCACGTTGTTAAATAAATTCTTTGTACACTCTGTGGTATTAAATTTCACTGTTGAGTGTCTCAAAATCACTGCTAATTGTCTGCAATTTTAATAACGTTGAATCACTGATAATAATCGAAATTTAACTGATAACTGTGGTAATGTACTGAAGGAAATGCTACAATTAAATACCCGTGCGATCTTCTCAATAGCTAGATTTCAACTACTTTTCGGGGGTTTCGCGATTCCCTGACCACTCAACCGAAGGTTCCCGATGGTGCTCGAGGATTGTCGGTAGGACCGACCATTTAACTGATAGATATATAGTTACGTTTCAAATAGAATTTAACAAAAATTTTGCTATCTGCCTTAGATTCCGAGATACTCATTGATAGTTGACCAATAGTCAAAATCGACTTAAACCGTTTTACCACTACTGAAATAACTTGTTCAATAATTCACCCAACAATGAAAGAAAAAATCTGCAGAAACCTAGTGATTCGTACCAATTTCAAACTCCTCATGTTTTTTTTTCAAGAAATCGAACGAGCCTCTTCGTCCACCAAAGACGACAAACATTGAAGAAGAGGGAAAATCAAAGCAAGTACCACTACGTGCACCCAAAAATCTGACAACTCCTTCAGGTGAGGAAAATCAAAAGGGGAGTGCTCACGTGGATACAAACTTGAAGTTTATTCCCGAGGAGGGCCCCAAGCCTGATGTTCCAGGAGGGAGAAAGGATTCCAAGAGTTGCGAGAAACTCCAAATACCAAAGAGAAAGCCAAATTTGAACTCTCCGATTGCTACGAAGCCCAGCTTGGAGTCTGAGATGTCTAAACTGAACATTAAAAATGATTCTGGAGCTTTGACGAGTGGCAAATCCCAAGATCCTCAGATGAAGAATACAACTGCTAATGCCGAGCAACAGAGGAAGATTGGACGTTGTGCTGCCATTTTCAAGTAAACCTCAATCGACAGTGGATGATGGAGGGACAGGAGAGGAGGTCTATTTCATAGGAGGGGAGGATGATAGATACGAGGATGAGAACTCGTATTATGACGACTTGGATTAAAGTTTACTTTATATTTCTCAGACATTTCATAATTTAAGTTTATCAATTTAGGTGATATTCGCAGTTGGTGGTTTTGAACAAACAAAGAAAGGGAACTGAATTTTTCACATAATAAATATTCATGAGTAGGAGAAATCGTTTGAATGGAGTTAATCAATTAGTGAAGGTGCTCTTTATACACGAGTGTAAAAGGAGCTGCACAGATTCCACATTTTTCCGTAAATTATGGAAAGAAGAGGAAAACGAAACTCATCTCATCTTATGGATATTTTAATGCTAATTTTAATTTTCTTTTGAGAAATCTTTCTAGCACGTCTAGTTTTCGAGAAAAAAAATGTTGAAAAATGAACAATTTGAAAAATCTGTAAAAAAATGAATTTCGACGTATTTTTTTCCAGAAAAAACTATGAATTAATGAAAATGCGATTTGTTTAGTGGATTCGATTTCATCCCAATTGGTTGAGTCAAAACGAGTGAAAAAAATCCAGAAAAAGTCCCAATTTCATGATTTTTCTCGTAAAATCGAATGATCGGAAGTTGGTTGCACACACTTTGATGCACGCCAATTTCAAATTTATCTATACCCGTGTGTTAAGTTCGACTTCATTTAACATGAAATTTGAAAATGCCTTTCCTGCAAGGTAATCGATTAATTGCTCTTATGAGAAGTCATCCTCAATTGTGTAGAGGTTTAGTTGTTGAAATAAAGTTGGAAAATAAAGAGATTAATGCACAAGGTTAACACTCTCGTGTAGATCGATTTGAGAATGGCAACCTACTTCCGATCATTTAATTTTACTAGAAAAATTATGAAATTTGGACTTTTTCGAGATTTTTTTCACTCACTTCTACTCAACCAATTCAAATGAACCCAAATGCACTAAACCAATTGTATTTTCATAGTAATTCATTGTATTTTTTCTTGGAAAAACTACATTCAAATTTATTTTTTAATACATTTTTAATGCCCCTTTAAAACCACTTTTCAACACTTCAACATTTGTTTTTCACGAAAACTAGACGTGCTAGATTGTTCAAAAGAAATTTGAAATCAGCATCAAAATATCTATAACATGGGATCAGTCTCGTTTTTGAGGTCGACGACATCCGAATTTTGGTGAACCGTGTAATTTCACACTAAAGACTACAACAAAATTTTCCCACATTTCAAAATAATTTATTCTACTCATTAATAATATTTATTAAAAAAATTAATTTCACTGTCGACTTTTCTTGTTTTTCATAAACAATCGTGGACACCTCTCAAGTTTCTCATCCTTGGTGCTAAGAGGAGAGGGTTCTCTTGTCTTTTATGTTACAACAAAAACGTAATTAAATTCCTTTTTTTTTTAAATCATTGAACTGGTTTAGGACTTTAATTTTGTTCAAAATTGATAAGAGCTGGAAATTAATCCAGAAGAATATTTTTGCCAGAACAAAAAGACCTCATGCACATTATATGTCGTATTTCGAAAAGGAAAAGAGTTCAATTTCCATGAATTAACAATTTTTTCTTAAATGAGTTCGTTAATTCTTTCGATCACTAGACATGCGCTTATTATACACTCTTGTGATCATTTTTCAATTACCACAAAACTGCGTTGTCATTAGTTGGAATGACGGATCAGAAACGAAATCTAAGAAAATATTGAGTAGCAAGAATTTCATCTGAAAATATTAACAATTTTTTTCACAGATGAAATTCTTGAAAATCGTGTGCCTTGCTCCAACAGTTATACTTTATTATACTTATGTCATTGCTGTGAGTATTCCAAAGACCAATGCAAGATTCAAGAGAGAGCACCATTGGATCTGTAAACCAAAATTAGTTTTATTTTCAGAAGGAAATTAATCAACCTTGAAGTGACGACACTATCCAATAAAGATTTAAACTGTCGCTATATTTTCTGTATTCATTACATTTTCGGTTTCATTCATTTTGTATTGAAGAACAAGTATTCTTCCTAATTGTCATACATTGTTATTGATAAAAGAAATAAATTCATATTCTACTGAATTGGGTAATTATTGCATCTCTTGGAGAGAACAGAAATATTTGTGATTTCCATTTTTTAGTAGATGGAAAAAAGGGTTCAAACAAAACAAGAAATCGTCAAATTTTAATTTTTCTTTTTTTCAATTTTTTACAATTTTCCATACGTATGTGTGTACGTATGAAACAAAGTTTTTCTTTAATTATTCGCTAATGACTGGATGGAATTGAATCTTTTTTTTTCATTATTGTTGAACCCTATCAATTGCCATTAATTAAAAATTGATTCATCAATTAGTTTTTTCAATTTTCGATTTTTTTTAAATCGGTTGTCCCACGATAACTAAAAAAATGTTCTAAATTGATTGAATGATGGCTTAAAAAATTCGTTGGATGTCCTGTTGACCGAGTTCGAAGATAAAGGTGATAGCAATAATAGTTATTTTGATTTATTTGAAAACTTGCAAAAATTTTATATTTTTATATAGTTCTAAACAGAAAATGGAATATCTTTAAAACTACTCATTCGACTTCACTCATCTGAAATCCCTGCCTGTAATTTAGTAAGAGCTAGAATCCTACCAAATTTCAACTTTGTATCTCAATCTTTTCACGCATTATCGTGTTTACATCAATTTTATCACAAAAATGAAAAATGTCAATTACTGGGCGATTCGCAATAGTTAGCTAGGCATATTACGGTCCGATTCGATAGGTATCATCATAAGGAATATTTAGACACTAAAAAAAGTCCATGATGTAGTAGTTTCCGAGATATTGAGACAAAAAAATTTTCGGAATCGCTGTATCTGAAAAACTACTGGACCGATTAAGTTGAAATTTCGCCCAGATGTGCTCCCAAACAATACCAATTATGAGCCGAAATTTCAGATTTTTATCTATCACTTCAGTCCTTTTTTTGTGAAAATTTATAAACAAATTCCCAGAGTTTTAAACGCACATACGGACGTACACACATTCTCTGAAAATATATCTCGACGTTTCATGACATTCTAAATCATGTCCATGCAAAATTAGAGCATCGAAAATTCGACCGATTACAAAGCTTCCATTCGGAAGTAAAAACTAGTATATTTCGTTATGAGTGTGGAAAAGAGTTTTTTCTGCACTCGCCTTCGGCTCGTGCTATAAGCCTCCCACGAGCCAAAAAACTATTTTCCGCACTCGTAACGAAATATACTATTTCCTAAATTTTCAAGACGAATGAGGAATTTTGTGAGCCCTTTCATTTGAAATTGAATTCAAACTTACAACATCGAAAATAGGGAACTTGCATGAAGCTCAAATCTTTTCGGGCCTAATGACAAAAAATATTGTTCGACACACGGCCGTGGGAACTTTTCTACCTCATATGATTACAGGGGAGCGATTTTGCTCGTTTTATGTCGACATAAAATCGTAAATTTCAACCAATGACAGTCCTGGATTCGGAATACTCAACTAGGATTGGTTGAAATTTATGATTTTATGTCGACATAAAACGAGTAAAATCGCTCCCCAGAACTTGCCTTCGGCTTATCCTGTAACCTCATATTCGCCAGGAAAGTTCCTCACGGACTAGTGTTGAAATGCACTATTTACTATTCTAATTGCCCTATTCACACACACATTTGAGGCCAGTTTGTCGGTCATGACGTCACAAAGACGGTCAGGTAACGCTTCATTGGTCGAAAAAGAAGAGAGTGGGGAGTTGTCCTCCATTGGCCGAGGCGCCCCTCAAGATTGGGTTAGGTCGGCCCGATCCATTCTGTGATTGGTCCAGCGCTCGACCGTGTGTGATGTCATTAGCGATTCCAAAGCGTTTGAAATCTTCACCTTTTAACAATTAATTCAATAGCGAAGTGGTAAACCGGTATAAGTCGATGTTAACTATTGGCCACTTTTCAATAAATATCTCGGAATCTAATGGAAATAGCGAAATTGTTGTAATTTCCTTTTTTGTAACTCTCAATTTGCTCGATAAAAAAGTTCATGACAAAAATTTGGCTGTTTCCCTTAGATTTTGAGATATTCATTGAAAACTGGGCAATAGTCAAAATCGACTTATACCGGTTACCACTTCACTACTGAATTATTAATTAATGAGCAATATTTCAAACGTTTGTGAATGAAAAATGAATTATTCAGGTGTCAAACTTAAAATTTGAAAATTGAAAACAAATTTAAATTCAATTGCTAGGATTATTGAAATTTCAATAAATTTTTAACAGCGCAGGCGGCGGGGGTGGGGATAGGGGTGGTGTGTCGGTTGAAACTTGAACTCCGCGTCGCGTGATCTTTGTGGTCTTTGTTCATAACGTCTCGAGTGCTTCGACAGTCAACATCTCGAGAGTTTTTGGCACTTGTTCTAGCATAGTGAGGGGATAAAGCCACAAGGATTAGAAGAAGAACATCCGCTGAGGAAAGGATTCTCATACTAACGTAAGTTTCATTGAATTAAATTAGTAGGAAAATTACCATAAAACGATTCAAGTTATGTACAGAATTGATGGATCGATTTATCAAGTGCACGGAGACAAATAGCGTTTTCCGACCATTTTTATTTTACAGAAATGGAAGAGAAAAAAACTGAAACATTTAGTGAATTTTCAGGTTCATCACCGAACAAAGTACGAAATTGTCACGTAATTTTTCCCGAAGAAGTGAAATCGTACAGAAACTTCCCAACTTATTATGCCTCCAAAATAAAATATTCTTGAACGTTCAACAATTTTTATGATGCTGGTGACTTATTTCTACGTTCTGTTTCGTAAAATTTCTCAATCGTTGGGAAAAATTACGGAACGACTTGTTGTACCCACAGCGGTGAGTCAACAGACGGGTGGTTAATTTTTATGGAACATTTGTGACGATTCGTACAATTTCAGTTCCGACTCACACTTTTTATTGAATTTTACTTCGCTCACGGCTGACGTTTCAAAACGTAATTTTTACGTTTTTTTTTTTTGGTAATTTTTATTTAATTTTTCTCTCCGTGTGGGAGAGTCCCGCCAAGAACTTGTTCATTATTAATTATTTGTCAATCACCGATCACTCATTTTTTTATCGTATCAAAAATCAATGTTCACGATTAACTTGATTATCCCGCCAGTAGGATTCATAAATGGCATTGCGAGATCAGATATTCCCCAAACAATTGATTCTTGATATTTTTTCCAGTGATATCTATTATTGAAAGAAATCAATGATTGCAAATAAAGACATGAAAAAATTAAATAGAAAAACTGAGCGAATTCCCTCGACAATTCTATTGAATTTCTATTGAACTTTCTACTAGTTTCTGGCCGATTCTATTGAAATGCTGAATACAAAATATTCTGGAGAAAAAGTCAATATAATTCGATTTTTTGATACGATTTATTCTATTGAAATATTTTCTATAGATTTTCCTCGGATCAAATTTTACAATTTTTTTTCATTCTATTTTTTGTCGTTTTATCAAGAAAATCGAACAACAAACTTAGAAAATTTGACCGAGGAAATTCTTTGGAAAATATCTCAATAGAATAAGTTGAATTTTTCTATAGAATATTTTCTATAGAATATTTTCTATTGAGCATGTCAATAGAATCGACCAAAAACTAATAGCAAGTTCAATAGAAATCCAATAGAATAGTCTGGAGAATTCGCTGGGTTTTTCAATGAAATTTTTTCAACCGTGAAGTTCAGGTCAATATGAACGATTCTATACTGTCAAAACAATCGGAGGACTGTTTACATTTCCCCCACCGCATGATTTTCCGAGGGGGAAAGTGGAGATGATCGGGTGTCAGTTTACAACGTTTATACTAGAATTGAGGCGATGACAGTTCTTGAAAAATAGGAAAATTACCGCCATTCAGTGACAGATGAAAGAGTGACTCTCTAATTTTATAATTTTTACAATTGACTCCCACTAAAAATAAAATCCTAATTAAGAGGGATAACGGCCAGTTTTTTTCTATATATAATTTGATAACCTTTACAACACTGTTAGAAAATTACTCTTGACATTTCAAGTGAAAAAGCTTGAAATTTTTAACAACGACAATGTTACATGAAATTTCTGTATATTTCTTCATTGACGCATCGGTTAATTTCTTGAATATTCAAGCAATTCTCAATTTTGAGGTCGATATGGCACTGAAAAACATTGAAAATTCTAAAAATTCAGACAACAATTTTTCTGAATTCTCAATCTATTGAAAATTGAATTGTATGTGATGTTCAATTTTGACAGTGAGTTTGGAAATTCAAGCTTTCATTGAAAAATCAATGATTATTCAACATGAAAAACTCAATTTTCTTGAATTTTCAAGATGAATGACAAATTTAGTGAACACTTTCATTTGAAATTGAATTCAACCTCACAACATGGAAAAGTGAGCTGACGCTGTGACTGAAATTTCTAAAAATTTCTAACAGTGAATCGGCTCCCCCTATTAAAGGACAAATCCTAATGAAGAGGGATATTGGCCTGTTTTTTCTATATTATCTACCTCCTAATAAACGAAACGAAGAGGCACTACATTTTCGGACACTTTTCTGATGCTAATTCTCCTAGGAATTTCGGACACTGTTATTAAATTTACATATCATCAATTTTAAGGGCTCAAGTATATAAATATCATCTTAAGTGTCAATTCTAATATAATTTTTTTTTCTCTTCGTATGCCCTTTCGGGTCTTTACGATTTGTTCCCTTCCCACCCTCCAACCCCCTGTACCGTATTCGCCGAAGGACGAGGGAAAACTTCGCTTTGAGGGAAAAACCTGCCCAGGTACAGTCGTCCCTTTGACGAGACTACCGCTTGGCAGTGAAACTGTGAGATTAGAGCGCTACAAATTTTGACCGCCGTCGCCGGGACTCGAACCCGGATCACTGGCATCCTAGTCTAGCACTCTAACCGCACGGCTACTGCCGTCGGTTCAATTCTAATATAATATTTTCGTTATTTTTCCGAAGATTTTTTCAATTTCTCAAATCATTTGGTGAATGGGATAAATATTTCTCCTAGATTTTCAGAATGAAATGGTGTATTGACGGAAAATGACAGGTTTTCTTGTTAATTTATTCCTCTTTTGACATCAAGGGAATCCATATATTTCATATTACTTCGCGATTTTCAATCGAATTTGTTAATTAAATTCCGTTAAAAAGTTTTTAAAAAATTGATAATCATTATCATTCGAATCATATTTCACAAGAAATTAATTCCTTTCTACATTTTTTTCTGATAAATTGATAAGGGAAATTGCCTAAACTTTCTGAAATTTCATTTTTATTGGCGTAAAATTGATTTCTGACAAAATTCTGCATGCACTGTTGAAAAATTTTGGCTTATTTTTACGGCACACCAGTGATCGGCATCAATCATTATTCCAGAAATATTAAGAGAATTATTTCCCCAAATAACCGAATTCATTCGTTTATCATTGGAACTTGGAAAATAATAAATAATTGAGAATTAAAACTTTTTAAATAATTATTAGGTAAATAATTGGAAATTTTCAAAAAATATTAGAGATTATTAAATAATCGTCATTCTTCCGAATTCGATTATTGATTGGTAAAATAATTCGGAATTCAAATATTTAATTGTTGATTAATTTAATAATTGGAAATTGTTAAGTTCTATTACTTGATTATTTATGAAATTAATGGTAATGATAATTTATGATTATCCTTATCTCTGCGACACACACTTGCTTGGAAGTTTTATCAAGTGACAGCTGCATTGAAATTTAAAAAAATTCGTCGGTGAAATTTGAAAATTAGAAGGAAGAATAAATAGAAACTAGATTTCAGTTCAATCGTTGTATGGAAATGAATAGAATCAGAAAAATTCAGACGAATTTATTCTTGAATTTCCAATTTATTGAAAACTGCGTAATTCGGTACTGAATATTTGTCTTTTGACTGAAAATTCAAATAATTTGGAGAATTATTCCTGATGCTCAAAATTTTTTTATTCTATTAACTATTCAGCTATAATACCCCAAAACCTGCAAAATTAGCGTATATTTCCCTAAAGTTTTATCGCATAGCAACGAGAGGGATCAGTTAAATTTTCCGTGGCTTTAGAGTAGAGTAAAATTTATGAAATTCAAAATTCATTTATTGATAATTTATTGCGAATAAAGTAAAATAACGGATGCTTAACTTTATTCTTTGGAATGTAACGAACATTTAAAAAAAAGCTAAAATCGTATGAAAACTACGGGGCAAGGAGCATTTTGAAGGTAAGAACAGGAAAAATGAAGTTTTTCGTGGTTATACGGGGCAAAATCGATCGGATCCGTGATTTTCCCTAGTTATTTCCATATTCCGACATATATCACAAACTGTTCAATGAGTCCAAAGGCCCAGTGAAGACTTTTAAATTTCACCGACGTATCCCCTTAATGGAAAATCTGGAAGCAGACGACATCAATGAAAAAAATTTTGCAGGAAAAAGCATAATTTTAGTGGTGAAAAGAGTGAAGAAGACACTAAAGGAAAATGGCAGCAGGGGATCCCCGAGTGCTCTGTCCCCTGGATCCAGCTCACGAGATTCTGAAGAGTCGTCTTCAGTTCCACATTGTAAGGTGCATGAAGAACCACAATCTTCGTGACAAATGGTTGTGTCCTTACAATGCAGTTCACATTGTTGACAAGGTCAATTTCCAGGTAAAAAAATTTGATCTATTTTTTTTGTATTCATATGATTCAACTTTTGTAATTCGACTCCGGGGTGTTCTGTTCACGTTTTGCTCCGAAGAGAAAAGGTTATTGTGAAAACCCCAAAAACCAAATGTGGAAATTGCATGATTTCTTCACCTTTCGTTAAGAAACTTTTCTGACATTTCTTGGAGATCGGTAGGGTAAACTGCCCAGTAGACGGACGCCTAAGAAAACCGTCCAGTAGATGGACGTTTGTTTTTTAGCAACTGAAAAAAAAAATTGATCGAAAAAAAAATCGTCACTCAGGGGTTAAGAATCACAGTTAGTGAAAACTCAAAGCAACAATTCACATTTCAGTATTTTTTTGCGTAATTTCCTACCCAAAAGTAGCTCGTCCATCTGTAGGGCAGTGTCCATCTACTGGGTAGCTTACACTATGTGTAAATGTGTTTTCCGTATTGCTTCTCACTTTTCACAGTCCGGGGATTGGTATTGACTCTTCTCCAAACTGGTAAAAGTAAAAATCACTACAGAAAAATATCAGTTATGTCTAGTGCTGCTGGGGTTTTCGATTCGTGTGATTGCTACACCTTGCCTTTGGCACGGGGCGCCAACCTCACACGAGCCGAAACCCCAGTGGCACTCGACACGAAATATACTATTGTATGTGTGTGAGCAAAATTTTGCGTTACGATTTCTCCCGAAAAAAACTCTGCACTTTCGATTTATTCGAATGCAATCGATGCATCTTCGTGGGTTTCAGAAGGGATTAGATTGTAATCACCATCGTCCTAGCATTTTCCGAGTTATTATATATATGTGTGTAGTTATTTTTCAATTTTTTTTTAACTCTAACAATATGCTGTTACTCAACAACGAATGGTGCGATTCCCATCATATTCTAGAAGAATCAAGAGGCTATTGTTATCAATTTTGTAAGCTACACTGTAAGCTACACAAAGTTCTCAAACAAGTCTTACTTGTGCCAAGAAAATATTTTTTTGAAAATTATCAAAAAAGGATTTTTTTGTGCCAAACATGTAGAGAGTGCGTCGGAATGAAAATTTTTTGTCGCAAAAATAGATTTAAGAATTAAAAAGCAAAAAAAATGCATTCTCTGTACACGTAAGAAATGTCATTTCTAGCACTATTCCTTCGTTTCGGCTGTCTAATAATCACAGACAAGAAATTAACACTTGAATCAAACAATAATAATGATATGATAGCAATCTTGTAACTTAGGGATAAAATATTTGTTGATAAATTTTCCTCTATATGAGATATTTTCATCCTGAAAAGGCACCGTCTGGTGTGACTTATCCTCTTGAGCCAAATATTTCGTTACTGTCGAAAGCAGAACAATTATTCATGTTTGCAACTTTCAAATTCGAACCAAACAAATTCTTTTTTGGCAATTTTTAACGAGCGATTTTGTTGGCCCAAACAAGACTTGTTTGACAATGTGTTTGTTTTTCTCTCAGTGTACGATTAGTCCTATTCTGATAACAATTGTTTGAGTGATCGTTAAAAAATTTTTTCGAAAACTATTGAATTCATTAGAATTTTCACAAAAAGGTGAATTTTAATTGGTGTCAATAGATGGAGTTTATCAACCCCCTAAGGTGAATTTCAATATCCCCACTCTACGGTCGTCAAAGCGGAATGCCAGCGGTTCCACTCTAGCGCCCTTACTACGCTTTTCACCTTAGAGGCTATATTCATGAAAAAAACATGAAATTCGACAGAAAATCCCCGATAAGAAAACAGAAAATAATATATTTCGTCATTAGGCCAAAAAAAACTTTTCTGTACTGCTTCTCACGATTTCTCGTCTGGGAATTGGTATGACATACTTCCCAAACTCAAAAACTTGAAAATCACTACAGAAAAATATTGTTCCTGGGCTGTTGTGATGGGGTTTTTTTACTCGTGTGGTTGGCCAGTCCTCGCCTACGGCTCGGAGGCCAACACCACACGAGTAAAAAACCCTATCGCAACAGGCCGGAAAAATAGAATTTCTAGCGAATACTTTTTTAAAAATTGGACTTTTAGGCACGCGGAGCGGAGCGTGCCGAAAAGTTCACTTTTCGTCACAACGTGATGAATAATATTGTTCGTAACTCGTGAAAAAATGTTTTTTAGCTCGTGGGATTATATCACTCGCCTTCGGCTCGTGATATAAACCTCCCACTCGCCAAAAAACACTTTTTTGAACTCGTTACGAAATATACTATTTTGTCATTCCGGCCGTGAGGCAGCGCTTCACTGTTACTGTTATACTGTTCGTCATACGGCCAAAATAGTATATTTCGTCATTAGGCTGAAAACAATTTTTCTGGCGAATATGAGGTTTGCAGCACGAGCCGAAGGCGAGGGCTGCGATCATATTCGTCAGAAAAGTTTTTTTTGGCCATATGACGAACAATATTTTTTGTCATGACGGCCGTAGGCTCCGCTTCGCTCCGCGTCTGTGAAACGCTGCCTTACGGCCGGAATGACAAAAAGGTCATTTTAAAAACGACTATAGGGGAGGGTGGGGCAATATGGACACCTGGGGTAAAATAGACACTCAAAAAATTTACAAAAAAAAATGTCTTTTCAAAATTTAAATTTACTAAAATTATTTCATTGGGCAATCTGGACACCTGATAAATCCATATAGGATGGACTAATATCGTCGCATTAAAATCAAAGGGGCGTAAGTGCCAAAAAACCCATTTTAGAAGTGAAAGGTGCTTATGTTCCGAATTCCTGTTTTTTCGGTTTTTCATGGAATTTATGACCAAAAATCGGAAAAAAAAAATCTAGGAAAAAGGCGTAATTGCTATATTTCAACGAGAAAGGGGCGTATCTCCATACTTACGCCTGTTTCATTTCATTCAAAAAATGACACTTACGCCCTTTTTACATTATGTGTTGTGCACTTCGGATGACACATTTCATGTTGAAATAAAACGAAAAGGGCGTAAGTCCCACATACGCCTCTCTCTCATTATATCTTAGGTCTACTCGCGATAATGAGTTTTATATTGTTATATTAATATAAAACGCTTTAACTATTTTCTTCTTCCTTTATGGTCTCATTTTCTTCCGAAGTGTTCAAAGCAGTCACGACTCGAAATTTCATACAGATAATTTCCTGAAATTCGCAGTCATAATTTAAAAAAATGAAATAAATTAATGAATGAAATCGAATAAATTTAGAAGAAAATTTTAGAAAATTTTAGTTTAGTTACTCATATTTCTCATGAAATTGTTTCATTCAAGCAAAAAATCAAAGGGAAATAATTTGAACATTCATGATGAGAGGGAGGGAGGGGAGGTTAATGTAGAATCAAATATTATTTATTATTAGGGCTGTAGTGCATGTGATTCCGTTTATACTTGATGAATCAATAGGAACGAACAGTAACAAATGAAGGGACATATATATTGGAGTTACGCCCCTCTGTGATTATTGCTTCAAAAACAAAGGGACGTATGTGCCTGAGTTACGCCCCTTTGGAATTATTCATTCTCAATATGAGCTAGAAAAGAAACAAAAAGTATAAAAAGAAAGAGGCGTATGTGCTGGAGATACGCCCCTTCAGTACTTGCTAGTCGGACTTACGTCCATTTGCCACTTCAGAAATTTGTCCACAAAAAACCTTTCATAAGTTGAGAAAACTCCATTTCGAAGGAAAAAAAAACATACGCCCCTTTGGTATTAAAAGAAAAAAAATCTCAGAGAAATGGCACTTACGCCCCTTTGATTTTAATGCGACGATATGAAGACCCAAAAAATTGATCCTATTTAAAAAGTCAAAAAGAATTTTCAACAGGCATTTTCCAACAGAATTGTATGGGTCTATTTTATATGGAAAAATTCGAGTTGGAAGAGATAACAAATAAACTTCAACTCTATTAAATTTTACATTGAAGTTTGAAATATAGAATAGCTTTGGATTTCCTATTTTACTATTGAAATAACTTTGAAATTATTAATTTTTTCAATGAACAATTGCACGTACTATACAACTGACCTTTTGTCCATTTGGGAAATTTGTAAGATGTCCTACTTTTCTACTCACAAACGAAACAATGGGAGGAGGGGAGGATAAATGAGCAAAGAAAAATTTGGTTTACCACCCCCCACGACAAAAATAAAAAATAAGTTTTTTTGTTCAATTTGAAAATCGCAGTCATGACTAGTGTTTTCGAAATTGAATAATATTGTTGAAACATAAGAAATTGAGGAAGAAATCAAGGTGTCCACTTTACCCCGTTTTTGCTTTACTTTGCAACTCCTACGACGCAGTCTCATGACAATGTGTTTGTTTTTATAATCATTAAATGATCTCGAAACAGTAGATTTGATCAAATTCACTTCATTATTATAAATCGGGTATCCATATTGCCCCACCCTCCCCTATATACATTTATCCTGACTTTTTAGACCATATTTAGTGACCCTAACGAAATAAGATAAAAAAATAAGAAAAATCCTACTTCGAAGCAAAAAGAAATTGGTCAGGAATTTTTTATTTTTCTCTTATCTATACTAAATCACACCTAATCTCTAAGCGTCACACCCTTACCAGGAGCAACGGAAGCGGCCAGTCTTTGATTTATTTATTGTTACGTTTACAGGATCACGTGGCAGATTGCCCAGATTACAGAGAAGTGCAGTCCTTCACCTATAAAACTGATAACAGAGAGCTCGTAGGAATCCTGTCCGTGGATCAAGTCAACAAGGTCCATAACGAAACTGTTGACGATGGTGAAGATAATTGGGACAATGTAAGTAATGACGGGTTTAGAGAGTCACAAGGGGGGGGGGGGTGAAAAATGACGTAGCTCAGAATTATTTCATTAAAATCAAATGCGAATTGCATTCCTAATGGTTCATCATGGGGAAATGTGATTAGAAACAATCATTTCACATTGACTATTTCTGCCAATTACAGATCATTTATTCATTTTGTTTACTTGAATGATTGAAGGTCAGGGAATATTGGAAATCAGAAGGAACGATTGGAGCAAACTGAAAGTCAAAAAACGACTGTTTGACGCAATTCTAGTGAAATTGTATATTTCGGGACGAGTGCCACGGGGTTTTTTACTCGCGTAGAGTTGGCGTTCGAGCCGATGGCGAGGACTGGCCAACCACACGAGTAAAAAACCCCATGACAGTAGTCGTGAACAATATTTTTCCGTAGTAATTTTCACTTTTACCAGTTTGGGGAAGGACTAATACCAATCCCCGGACGAGGAAAAGTGGAGAGCAGTACAACAAAAATTGTGTATTAAGGCCCGATTGGATTATTTTTCGAACATTATCTCAATTGTTGCAGGAATTCCTAAAAATTATGATTGGATAATGAAAAAAAGTAGAAAAAACTGAACATTTTCAAAGATTAAGAAATGAAAATTAATAAATAAAGATTAAGAAATAAGTGCGATAGAGAGGAAATAATGAATGAATTTATCATGGTAAGTAACGATCTGACAGTCATTGACTACTTTGACAAATGACGACCTAACAGCCATTAGATACATCAAATTATTATCTTGCAATTTCCTCCCTATTGGATTTATTTCCCAATATTATTCAAAAACGCTCTTTGAAAATGTTCAGCTTTTTTTCAACGTTTTTTTGATTGTACAATCCTAATTTTTGGAGACTCCAGGGCTATATAAACTGAACAGCAATTGGAGATCATTTCAGATTATCAAAATGAAAAAAAAATAAGCAAGATCACGTTCGAAAGATAATGGACCCGGGCCTTAACTATATTTTATCAACTTTTGTTTATTATCTTTTTTTTTATTATTGGGAGTACTGATGAGAATAATAACTTTCCATCCAGCAGAAATGGAAACTGAACATGGAAGAAGGAAAATGTGATGCTAAATTTCAATTGAATGAAAAAAGAAAAGTGTTATCGCCCTTATCTAATCAATTGAATTAAAGATGAACTATTTCATATTAGTTGAAATGAGAACTGCGGATAAAATTAGTGAAAATTACTAATATTGTCGTCTTGATGTAAGAAATATGTGAAAAACCGTCGGGAGTTTCAAATGAGGAGAGATCATATGAGTCCATACGGACTCAGCGATGATAGACTTCCATGTTCCAAAAGTCAAATGAATTTTCTGCGGAATCCTTTAAAATTCTTGGAATTACAGGAATTTTTGAAGGATTTTGCACTAATTTTCCCGGAATAATTAAACTGACATTTACAGTTCCCGTGCAGTTTTGAACGTAATTATGAATTTTCAATGACAAAAATACTAGAAATTTCAGTGAAAGTGTTACTTGTTAGAAATTTCCAAGACCCTTACCAGAAGTTTCAGTGGGAAATTTTTAACAATATAGGAGTTATTTCAAACAGAATTTCTTTGGATTCTTTCAAACTACCAATACCAATTAGTAACAAACACTTCAAATAGTTATTCAATGAGTATTCTACCCCATTTTGGACGACAAATTGGGGATGAAAATCTGTTAATCAACACATTCTGGGGATGAGTATTTTTTAAGGTGTTTCGTGTAAGAAATCAAAATAATGAAAACAAATTGGGAAATTCATGGGAGAAATGTCTGAGTATGCTGCATCATTGAGAATTTTTGCACAATTTTCTTCACACTTCAGTCTCAAGAAAAAAAATAATGAAATTTGGATGTTTTTGTAACCCTTTCAGCTATAACCTCCGAGGTTACCCCACTCTCCATTAGGGAAATTTCTATGGCACCCAAAAGAATAGTGAACTATTGAGGAAAAATTAGTGGGTGGTAAATCAAATCTTTCCTGAGACCACGTATAAGTTTCAGATTTTTTTCAGATTTCATAAGAAAGTTATTTGAACAGATGATTCTGAAAATTATGAGTTTCGGGGCGATTTCGCCCTCATGCGCAGGCGCGTGATTCGAATGACAGTGAGCATCATGGGAAAGTGAGAGAGAGAAAACACTCGACCGGTTCACCAATTCGAGACGCATTTTAATATTATTTCAATAATTAGAAAAACATCCAAGAAAAATTATTCGACACCCGTAGGTGATGAGAAAAAAATCAATCAATCTGATAAATAGAATCAATATTCAAAAAATGTTTAAATGCACACTTAAATAGTTACTTGAAAATTTGAAAATTTCATGCTCAGCGATTGAATCAGAGCTCGAGAACAATAAGACTCCCCTTCAGCTCCGTGAAGTGGGCACCCCACTTGGTTGGATTTGAACCAAAATTTCATAATTGATAGATTTTGAGCTACTCGTGATAGTAGTAACGTTTTTCTTGTTTGTAGTTTGAAATTGAGCGTCCAATTCGTTTTTGAAATACAGTTAGGAACTATTCCATAGTTAGAGCTGGAGTGAGATTGGATTCTCGTCTGCAATCGTTTGTAGTTGATTGTAGTTCTGGAAATTTCACGATCGGAATCGCAATAAACGTTCAATCGATTTTTTTTAACAGTTAGGAACTATTTCATAGTTGTATTTGAGATTACGTGGGATTCTTATCTGCACTCGTTTGTAGTTGATTGTAGTTTTGGAATTTTCGCAATCGGAAATCAAATGAGCGTCCAATCGATTTTTGGAGACCAAGTAGGAACTGATTGAAAGCTATTGCCAGAATGAGCTCGGATTCCTGTCTAAAATCGTTTGTAGTTGTTTGTAGTGCTCACAAATTTTCAATGCACCGAGAAAACGGGGTGGCAGACAGTTGATATATGTAGAACGATTTGTTTGTAGTTGTTTCTAACAGTGAAAAAAATGAAGAACCTTATAAACCAACGTTCATACTTGATTGTAGTTTTGGAATTTTCTCAATCCGAACTCAAATGAGCATCTGATCGATTTTAGGAGCCCAAGTAGGAACTTGTTAACAGCTATAGCCAAAATGAGCTCGGATTCCTGTCTAAAATGGTTTGTAGTCGTTTGTAGTACTCACATATTTTCAATGCACCGAGAAAAAAGGGTGGTGTAGAGTTCAGATATGTAGAAGAATTCGTTTGTAGGTATTTCTAACAGTGAAAAAAAATCAATAAGAAAAGAAGATCTTTATGAACCAACGTTCATACTTGATTACTAATTAATTGTAGTTTTGGAATTTTTCCAATCCGAACTGAAATGAGCGTTCAATTCGTTTTTGAAATAGAGTTAGGAACTATTTCATAGTTACAGTTGGAATGACATTGGCTTCTCTACAATCGTTTGTAGTTGATTGTAGTTCTGGGAATTTTACGATCGGAATCGTAATAAACGTTCAATCGGTTTTTTTTGAACAGTTAGGAACTATTTCATAGTTGTATTTGACATGACGTGGGATTCTTAACTGCAATCGTTTGTAGTTGATTGTAGTTTTGGAATTTTCGCAATTGGAAATCAAATGAGCGTCCAATTGATTTTTGAAGACCAAGTAGGAACTGATTGAAAACTATAGCCAGAATGAGCTCGGATTCCTGTCTAAAATCGTTTGCAGTTGTTTGCAGTGCTCACAAATTTCCAATGCACTGAGAAAACGGGGTGGCATGCAANCGTAATAAACGTTCAATCGGTTTTTTTTGAACAGTTAGGAACTATTTCATAGTTGTATTTGACATAACGTGGGATTCTTAACTGCAATCGTTTGTAGTTGATGGTAGTTTTGGAATTTTCGCAATTGGAAATCAAATGAGCGTCCAATTGATTTTTGAAGACCAAGTAGGAACTGATTGAAAACTATAGCCAGAATGAGCTCGGATTCCTGTCTAAAATCG